ACACACACACACACACTAAACCTGGGAACTCAGCAGAGATTGGCACATTGTAATGACAAACTGGAATGATAATATTGTGTAAAACTTTTGAAATTCCACAGAGATGAAAGTATACATCAAAGGGAATAAATGTTTATATTATTTTTGTAATAGGGTAACATGCAAAGGTGTATTATTTCAGGGGGAAAGAGAGATGAGGCACTTATTTTACCTATCAATAGTTCTCTCAGTGCTACCCTTAGCCAGGAACAGGTAAGACATTGGACAGAGGTCTAAATCCCTTCTTTATCAAGCAGGTGAATGAATGAATGAATGAATGAGACTTTGTAAATAAATAAATAAATAGATAATTTATTAAATTAATAAGCAAATGGATAAACCATTGAATGACTAAATGAATGAATGGATGAATGAATGATAGCTGGACTAGAAGAACAGGTAATGAAACTGATAAATATAGTAGTAGTAAATACAAAATTAATGTACTGTCTATAGATATTATAAAGAAATCAGTAATAGAAAAATTGAATAAAAAGAATGCGTATGTAGTATTAAATCAGTGAGTAAGTAAATTTCATTTAACTTTTTTCACCGTCAAGTTATTGTTTTTTATTGAGTGATCTTGTAGTGACCAATGTCTCTTACAGCTGTGTGCTAAGACAACTGTAGCGGTCAGTGGTCAGTTTACCAGGGACAGGATGTGGCTCAATGGCAAGTAGGTGACTCGATCTGGCCAAATCCTAACTTACAGGTTGCGTTAACCAAGCACTTGTCTAGAACCTCTTAGACCCCGTTCCCATACCTAGATTGATCTGGCAGGATCAACCCACCTCCTAGAGGGGTTCTCGCTAAATTGCATTCAGCTGAAGTGGCTTTGATGTCTGGCACACCTACTTAATCTGTTAGGGGGTAGTTAACTATCCTTAAGCAGCTTCACTAGGCATGCCAGACATCTAAGCTGCTTAAGCTGAATGCAACTTAGTAATAAACCCCTTGGTAATGTGTCAATCCTGCAAGATTGATCTAGGCTTGGGAACGAGGTCTTATAATGGACTCATTTGTTTTTGAGACAAAAAGTTTTTTCCTAAAGAAAATTCTAAAAGTTACAAAGGGGCATAGGGGGCCAGCGTGCTGTGTAAAGAGAGTTCTGTGACTGATTGATTTATTGTACTTCATGGATATACCACGAGGAAATCATTTAAACTTTTTTATTGAGAGAGAATCTGTCCAGAAGCTCACAGTGACAGAAGATTGTAATTAATAAATTCATTAAAGAAAAGTGGAGGGCAATGTAAATCAGTTTCAAGGAGTATTACATGCTAGATTTGATTTAATTCAGTATATCATTTAAAAGTACCTGCACATTGGATTTAATGTAAGATATGAAGTGCATGAGACTTAATTGTGTTAAGATACATGTGGTGACCATGTGTACAAAAGGATCCTAAGGAAATCAATATGTACAGTAAAATTGTTATTGTGCACAAATTACTTTGTTTGAAATATGTTTTTCTTATTTTAAATATTTTTCATTTATAGAGAAGAGTCCTTGGAAAATCCTAGATATCAAAATGTGCTTAGAGAGAGTAAGTACCTGTTGATGGGAATGGAACATTTCTCTTTTCATTTGTTTCCTTACTGGAGTTTTAGGTGTATATTTTAGTAGATAATTAAGTAAATTAAATAAAAATTCAACTTTAAATGAAATAATCTAAAGATGTATACTTGACTAAAATTTAACTTCTTGAGTCGGGATCCATGTTTTAACAAATTGTTACCGAAAAGAGAACAAGTGCTTCATGAAGTGAATTTTTAAACTCTTTGAAATTCATAAAAATAATTAAGACGTTAGCAGTAATATGAGGTATTGTATATACACCCAGAATCTGTTTCATAGCATTAATTAGGCCTTTTAAACAACTTTGCCCATCCTTAACTTGGTATACACAAACTCTCAGACTCTCAGCTGACTTAGTACGTAATTATGATAAGGTCCCCATAGAGAGCCATTCTAATCCCTCAGTTGTTCTACTTTCCTTCATCCCATTTGTTGTAAATCAATTTGTGGTTAATCAATCTGGATAATATGTTCATTTCAGTAAGAAGGAGGGCTAGGAAAAGAAAAATAGCAGGAGAAGGAAAAGGAACAAGTTTGTCTGATGCCCTCAGCTGGCATGTTCATATTTGCTCCGTGAATAACTTCCCCACTGCTGCTGGTCTGGCTTCATCTGCTGCTGGCTTTTCTTGTCTAGGTAAGTGCACATGTACTTCAACGTCAGGCTGCATTCTCAAAGGTGGACTATCTCGGATCTCGGATCAAATATGGCTGACCCAGTTGAATGCTTGTTGCGTATTCCCCGTGGGGAATCTATTCATTGTCTGTAAAGGAATTAGGCATCAAGCTTTAAACTGGGTCACCATATTTGATCCACGGATCTGCTAGTCTGCTGTTGAGAATGCAGCCTCGGATAAAATGTAACATATTTTTATCAGATGTTAACGCAAATCTTCTTTTTGACACCCCTGTTTACAACCATGAATTGCAGTTATGGTAACAATCAATTGTATGGGAAACTGAAAAGTTTGTGAGTGATATGAGTACTTCAACTGAATAACTGTCATCTACATGTGTACATGTAACTGTGCTTCTATGACAACTTCAGATTAATTGTAGGTAAAAAAGAAGGCTCGTGGAAGTGTTCTTAAGACTCTACTAAAACCCAAGATACTTTTACAATGGCTAGTGGCAATACGTGTTTTCTTTTGATGCCAGTGATTTAATTTCCAGTTTACTCTCTGGCAAAGCTGTTCAGAATAGAAGGTGATATCAGCGAGATCGCCAGGCAGGGTTCGGGCAGTGCTTGTCGTAGTTTATATGGAGGGTTTGTCAGCTGGAACATGGGAGAGAAAGACGATGGCACAGATTCAGTAGCAGAGCAGCTGGTCACAGAAAACCACTGGCCTGAGCTACAGATATTGATACTTGTGGTAAATGTTTCTTTTGTACAATTATGCCTTTTATGAGTATTATTTCCATATTGAGCTTGGCAGTTTCTATAGCTACCCTGTAATTTTGTATGCATATACATATGCCTGATGAAAAACATACCAAAATACTTGAAATTTTAACTATTTTGTAAAAATTTTTTTTTAATGTGCAAAAGTGTATCACATTAGCTATTTATTTCTGATTTTCTGCTCTGGAAATCAAGCTTTTATATGAAGTGCGTAACCTCTTGCTGCTGAACCGAAAATTTGGTATCCATGTTTGCAAAATACAGGGCAAGGCACACTAGGAGTTTCCATTCCTAAACTTAAGTCGATTCACAGAGCAAGGGGATTGTTTTTCATCTTCTGTGCTCCATCAACTGCTCCTCTTCACACACACATGCACACAAACTTGCCTTTTATTAAAATCTACTTAAAATTTGACATTAAACTACATGCATTTTTAACATCTTCCAGGTCAGTGACCAGAAGAAACACATAGGCAGCTCAGCAGGAATGGGAGTGAGTGTGAAGACAAGTGAACTGCTGAGGTACAGGGCAGAGCACATTGTACCCAGAAGAATGAAGGAGATTGAGACTGCCATACAGAACAAAGATTTCCAGACATTTGCCAAAATCACCATGCAGGTAGGATGAACTAGGGGTGCATTCCCAGAGATTTAGGTCGATCCAGAAATTTAGATTTAGATCGACCTAACTCCCTGGGGGTTCACGCTAAATTGCAGTCAGCCGAGTGCGCACCATAGTTAATTACCCCCTTTCAGCTTTTAGTAGGCGGGACAGATGCTTAAGCCGGCTAAGCTGACAGTAATCTAGTGAGACTCCCCACAGGGATAGATGGATCTAAAATCTATGGGAAATGGGTCTAGGAGACATCCTGAGTTTTTAGAGCCCATTCAGAATAGGGGGCTAACTAGTCCGAGGGTCAAATATGGCCGACCCACTTGAATACTTCTCCACAGAATATCTATTCAGTGTCTGTAAACGGATTAGACAGCAAGCTTTGTAGTGGGTCGCTGTATATGACCCACAAACAAGTTAACAAGTTAGTCCCCTATTCTGAATGGGGTCTTAGGGCGTATTCCCAGACATTTAGATTGATCTATCCCCGTGGGGAGTCTCACTAGATTACTGGCAGATAATCCGGCTTAATTGTCCGTCCCGCCTACTACAAGCTGTAAGGGGGTAATTTACTTTCATGCCCACTCGGCTGACAGCTATTTAGCGTGAACCCCCAGGGAGTTAGGTCGATCTAGTTTGGATCGATCTAATCTCTGGGAATGGGGTCTTAGAGATTACTAAAAGCTCTCCTCTATTATCATCATGCCTCTGCTTGCCCCAGTGCTGAGATGAGTTTCCAGTAATCTTTGAAACTCGGGATGGGTGTAGAATATCAGAATGAATTCAAATCCTCTGACCTCTCATTCAACTGTGACAATTGTAAACAAACATGCCCTGAAGTGACAAATAATAGTGCCTACCGGAATAACTGTGCCCCCTGGAAAACTTTCCGAAATTAATAATAATGTCTAGCGGATTAATTGTGCCCCCCAGAAAATTTTATCAATTTTAATAATTTCAATGAATAATTGTAATGACAATTTTAAATTATATTCCAATCTGGAAAAAAATATGTTTTGACTATTAAACATAACAAAAACACAATATCTAGACAAATACATATATTTTTGTTCAACGGCCATTACGGCCAGCACACTCCAGTCCAGCTCAGCACCAAGAAAGGCCTTATGCCCAGTGCCTAAGGGAGAAAAATCTCCCAATTCGTTCTTCAAAAAGGACGATAAATCTATTAGTAATAAAGTCAAAACTTCTTGATGTTGTTTTCTCGATATGACTTGGAAAACTTAATGTTATCTAAAGGATCAGAGAGGCAATACCGCCTCAGGATATTGTACCACCAGCTGGAGTAAGCAGATTTGTATGGAAAACCACAAAAAAAGGGGACACCACCACCAGTCTTGTGCTTTACAAGCTCTATAAAATGCAAAGAGAACCTAATTATCTGTTATGTATACACCATGCATGACCTCCTGAGTATGACTGGGATAGACCCACAGATCCATTTAGCACATGTTTGTTCATGAAAATATATTTTACCATTCAAATATCACTAAAAGTATAATATATACGGCTCCCGCGAAATTCCATTGTGGGGGGCACAAGTTTTCTGCTGACATCCTCGGCTAGAATTTCATAATCAAATTCTTGCGCCGTGTAAGATCTTCCAGTGGCATCTTTATCAAAGTACCTCACTGTGAGTTCATTTCCCTCTCTCACCACAACAGCAGGGATGGTCACTGCACCATACTTTACCAGTACATAATCATTCACAGTAAGGGGCAAGGAACTTGGCAGTTCTTCTGGTGAAAACAAAAAGAAAAAAATGAAAGAAATTGTAAACATCAGTCCAACTGTATATATTACCAGCATTTTCTTTTTCCATTTAAAGCCACAACATCCAGAATTTAATATGCATATATGTAAATTTTTTTTTTCCAAATAAAAATTCAAACAAAATTATACAGCTATGTCACATATCAGGAATGGAAGACCATTTATTAAGAAAAATGAAAAAAAATGTCCTTTATCCCAGGAAAAATCATTAAGCTCAATTTTTTTACACAAAAATCCTGGTTAAACTGGCTTAAAGCCCAATGTTAGAAAGAAAGCAAAACAATTTAGTAGCAGAAGTTAATATGCACAATGGGTGCATATAATATTTTTTTTACATGTTTACCTTTATACAAAACATCATAGTGACCAGACCTTCCTCCACTTGGTCCTGGTTTATACAACAGATTGACTTCTTTTGTTGACAACTGGCTAACTTCCCCAACAGTAGTTATCTCCCTGACAGTGGACTTATTTACCAGCTGGAATACATGGATCACAACCCCTTCTACGTGCGCTGCAGCATCTATTGCTAAGTGAGTTGCATAAACTCCAGTTCTGCTTATATCATCAATCTCTTCTTCTAAACTACTGTAACCTTCATCTAAAAGTATCATACAAATTGGTTGTTAATGAGAATATTTTATAATGATAGACCAAGAGTTCATAATTCGGATCAGGTTCAGAATTCAGATAAAAAAGGGACGTTGTCATAATTACCCATTCATTTACAAATCAGGAATAACACATGAAACACGAAGCCATCGAAAAGCTTATGCAGTAATATATTACACAGAGTCCTCACGTGGAGATTTAACTTCAGTTGCCCACAAGCAATACAGAATTTTGCTCGTCTTTCAGTACATTTTTTGTACCTTGAAGCCGCTGAAGTTGACATCCTATGTTATACTGATCCTAATTCTGAACTCTTGGTCTACTCAAGCATTAAACAATTATCAATTTTACAAGTCCAGCAGTTAAATATTTAATCACTTCACAAGTATAAAAAAATGAGGTATTTCATTTTTTAACATGTAAAAATTAACTGTTTTCAGTCTTAGTAAAGGTATGCGTACACTGCAGTATTCTCTGAAAATTTTCAAACATTATAAATTGGGAAATAAATCATACAATAAGTACCTGTAATAATGAAAGTTCTATCCTGAGAGAAACATTCAGAGTGTTCACCTTGTCTCATGGAGCTAACCAGCTCCTCATAGTGAACTGTGTTTCTTCTCATATAATCAGCTGTTCTCCTCCTAAGGCCTAGAACCGAATGTTCCTCTTTTATCTTGTCATCTTCATTTAATGGGTAGTTGTCATCACCTCTTGGGAAACTCTGAAGATCCAAATCTGCTGCTCTGACAAATGACCTAAAGAAACAATCCCCATCAGGTGGTGTCTTCATCAGCCGATATGTATGTCCATCTGATGATTTCAACTGGGATACTTGCTCTGGAAGAAAAAAAAATTAGTGGAAAACTGGGCACGGAAGAACATTTTTGGTTATTTTATGTATTTATGTACACTATGATGTTTTGTGATTATTGCCTTTTTACTCTTGTAGCGGGTTTCACAAATATGATACATCTATAGGAATATTATGTACTAGGTATATACTAGTAAAAAAAATTACCACTGTCATTTGGTTCTCCATCCAGAGAGATTGTCTCTGTGCTGTCTGGAAAAGGTTCAGTTACAGGGATCTCTTTGGTTGATGCATGCAGCCTTCGCACAAGAGATGAGTCGAGGAGCATTCGCCTTTCTACGCTGTTGCAAGCCTTTGAATAAGCAGCCCTCATGTGACAGAGGTGAGGCATCATTTGCACTGACGTTTCCCTCCCGAAAGTGTCAAGCACTGTCCCCAGTTGATTTAAAAAAAGAGCATCACGGTTCAGTTCTTGGTTGTCAGTGTTGGTTGGTAGTCCAACATGTCCTGGTCTCATGAGAGGTTCATGGGCTGAATTGCTTGTGGAATCTGTGCATGAAGGAGAAGCTATTGACTGTGGTTCTATTGGCGGTTCGTCCACATCAGAGAGGTTTTCCTTGTCTCCATCTTCATCCTCTAATTTACCATTCTCTGTGTCCAACTGTTCGATTCCTTCATCCTCCGGAGACTGGCCAATAGCTGCATGGCGAACTTCATCTGGGGGCGTAATTGTGGACAACCGGTCAGAGAAATTTTGGGGCGGGTCCTTAGCCATCTCTTGTGCAGGAAGATGAGCCTTCAAACACCTATCTATGTCAACAAACCTAAAATAAAATTTAAAAAGCAATCTGTACTTCCAATTCTCTTTATAAGTTATTACATAAAATCGCCTTATTTCTTGTTTTACATTTTTTTTTTTTTAGTTTAAGAAAACACAAAACACACAAACCATTTTGAATGGTTTATCTGTCTTAATTAGACTAAAAGCATTAGCATAAACATTATTATTGTAGCTGGGCCTAATTATATCAATACAAAACTAGGCTATCTCAAATAAATCACCCAGGCACCAAATAATTTTTAAAAGTAACTTGCACAAAAAACGTACGCTAGGGATTTTGCGCCTGGCTTTATTGCTTAACTAATTACTCTTTGCCTTGCATCTACCCGACATTCAATGCTGGATTGTCCCAGTTATTTCTTGTTACATATTAAAAAATATATACACTTAGAGTTTTAAGACTAACTAGTATATTTTTTTGGAAAGTTTTCCGGGGGCACAATTATTCTGGTAGGCACTATTCTTCAGCACTTCAGAGTATGATCTTTACAGGTGTGGTTATTGTATTTGTCTTTGAAAAGAGGAGCTGAAAGAAAGCTCTAATGACAATTTACTAGTCTGATTTTATTACTGAAAATACATGCCATTTTGTGAATTTGAACAATTTTTCTGGTAATTTTTAATACCTATGTAACCACAGACAGAAATGAGATCATGGACAGGAATAACATTTTTACATACTCAATAAAAAAATTAATTATTGTACTATGAAGTGTGTAAATGAACAGATAACTAATACTTTTTTTGTGATGTTGCACACTTTCAACAAGATAGAACCTCAGAAAGGCTATCAATGCACATATGAACTGGTAGAAACAAGCCGGTGGAGCTGTTTGCATGCTGAGTAAAATCTATTAACCCATGCTTAAGTTTACAGCAATTATAAAAAACACTCAGCAATCAAAATTTTTTATGGATTCAGTGTTTTTATCCTTTGGACATTACTGTTATATTTGCTTACAGGTTATATGTCATAGAAATTCCAATTCATTTTTACTGTACAAATGTTAATTCAGAATGCAACTTTACAGCGTACGTCAAGGAATTTTGTAACTCCTTTCTTACATACCTTATAAATAGAAACAAAATGTAAATTTTAAGTCAACAGGTTTTATTGTATTTTGCATTTTGTTTAAGAATTCAAAGTGATTTATAAATATGCATTCAATTCGGATTTTTATACATCATACTTTGTACTGTGATATTGAGTCTGATGTTCTTATTAAAATGAAATCACTAGTGTCTACCTTATAAATTTATATTATTTTCTGAAAAAAGACACCATGAACTTCATTTAGCATCAGTCAAAAATGATTTGTAGGTTTTGACAACTTATAAAGATTTAAGTGAGGTTTTTATTCAAAAATAAAGAAAAATAGAATATTTAAAGAACATTATTGCTGTTTTTCAAATTGTTTCCAATTATGAAAACTAAGGATAAAAACTTGTAAGCTATTGGTGATTGTTACCCCCCCCCCTTCCAGTAGCATTAAAGCTGAGTAAACTTGGTTATTTGTAAAAACTTTTTGTTCAATTGGATAATTATGGATGAATCAATTTATGAGAAATAATTTTGGCAGGCCTCTAATGAAATTTTTTGTTTTTGCAGAAATTATAAAAGCTGAAAAAGTATTGCATAGTCTCTTCAAACATAATCCAGACAACAGAAGAAAAAGAAATTTTAATGAAAAACACAGCAGTGACAAATGAAAATTCTTTTTGAAGCACATTAATTGCATTACTTGAGACACCTGCTTTGAACACGACAGGTGAGCAATGCAACATGGTATTCTAGCTACATTTCTCCTAACGTTTGCGCTAGTAAATAAACGAAATAGGCTTACTTACCATTGAAAAATCGACTGCCTCCTCTCAGGTCGGACGGGTTTTCTCCCTCCTCCCGCCTGCCGATATCGTTCATGTCCCAATTCTTCGTCCAGGGTGCCGTCCATTTGTCTAACATAGAGCTCCAGGCATCTTGATACTAGTGACTTGGCCTTTTGAAATTCGGCATGCCCGTTTGGTAGAGAAGCCATGTGAGGAAAGACCTCCCTTATCGTCTTGGCAAGAAACCCTTCTTTCGGTTTAGGATGACTAATTTTCTTTCGTTTAGCATCCCAATGAGCTTCCAAAAGTTTTGCCTCTTCTTCATACTTTAATTTGTTTGTGTAACACAATTTACCGATATCAAATTTCTGAGCAAGAGAGTATTTTCTGTAAGCCTTCGCCTTCGGCATCATTTCTGAGAAACCTCCCTACCGCTTGCACTGCGATGTTGCATACTGCGCAAGCTTGGCGCCAAAAAAAAGTTGATAATAGATTACCTCTGTTCACGGTTCTGGTTCAATTTCTTTGACACGAACGACTAACTGATCTATTCGGTATATTTCCGCTATAAACAGACGAAAACCTGGTCGATCTACTCATGCGGAAGTTGTGGTCCACATGTTGTCTGGACTCGGCCGGAACGAGGAACGCTAAACAAGTCACCCGCTCTTTACGTTTCTAACACGTTAACTGAATTGATGAAAATGAAATCACCGAAATTGAATTCTTCATTCAAAATACATGTTTATATTGTCACGGATACAAAGTGAAAATCAACTGGAAGACCCAGTCTTTAAATAAATTCCGCTCATGCGCAGTAGGTTACTGGCGCTTGAAAACCTCGCGTAATAGATTTGACCTGGTTTTCGTCTGTTTATCGCGGGCGTATGATTTTACGACGGTCAAACTGGTAGAAAGACAGTTGGATATTAGCAAAGTGACAGCTCTGTTGATGGGAAAACTGGTTGACTTTACATTAATGTGCGAGTTGAGGAGATGAGATGTAAAATATAAAATTTCGAGCTGCCGCACCGCGGCTGGTTCGGCAACTGGTTTTCATTTCCCACTTTTTGAGGCCTTTGCTTTCATGCGTTAGCACAGAGTATACATATCAGAATCGACAATAGGAGTGCTAACGCATGAATTTTCGTGCTAAAGTGCCACAGGGTAGAGATTTTAACCTATTTCTACTTATTATAAGCACATAAGATAGATTTTACAATACGATCTATTGCTGAATCGGGCGGCAGTATAATTATTTAACAATCACAATGTTTCATTTTGTCCGCTACTCACTACCGCCGAGTTTTGCCTGAGGGTGATGATGTTCAAATAAATAAATATTCTGTTTATAAGTAAGCAGCATTACCTTCTAGATTTATTAGTTGACTCATATGTTAAGTTTGTTTTTTTTTTTTTTTTTTTTTTTTTTTTTTTTTTTTTTTTTTTTTTTATATGCATATCTACATTGGTGTAACAATTACAATTACATTTTGATGTGAGATCAGTAATAACATTCAATTAAACAGTCTAGCCGCGACAGTGACTCCGGACAGCAGACGTTGCCCTACCAGCACTATAATAGAGCTACTTTTATATACGCAAGTATTATAATAATAATTTTTGTAGATAAAATGTACCAATTAAAGCAATCTATTGCAATTTAAAGTACTTAATAAATAAGACAATTTTATATGAAACATTTATTTGCAGGACAGCAACCAGCTCCATGCCTCCTGTTTGGATACCTACCCACCCATTATCTACCTGAATGATACGTCTAAACAGATCATGCATCTAGTCCACAAATACAATGACTTCTGTGGAGAAATTAAGGTAAGATTAAAAGAAGATAACATTCTTTCAGTCGCTGCCCTTTTTTTTTTTTTTTTTTTTTTGTTAAAACACTTAATGTTATTTTGGCATAGAAATCCTTACGCCACATATGAAAACTACCAGAGTTTCTGAACTTTCATTTTCAGTTGCAGCCATTTTTAATGTTTTTGGGTACATTTCTTTCACTTAAGTGGAGGGAGAGGGGTTCTATTCAGTCTATTACCAGAAAGTCATAGTCGTCATAATTTTATATTAACTTTTGATATTGTCTGGTATCATTCTGAAAGTAAAATGGAAATGTTTTTTTTTTTTTTTTAAGGTATTTACAGGGTGGTCCAAAAATGTTTCCATTTTTGAAAAAGTAGCATTTTCTATTGAAAGGAAAACTTCACAATTACTTCACAATGACTTATCTTACAGACGTGGAAGTTTTGTGTTGTGTAAGTTTTTGTGTAAGTTTTTGTATTCTATCATTTTGGACATGTTGAACAGTGTCATTACAAACTTCAGTGTGCGAGTAGCCACCGTGATTCAGCGGCAAGGAGCTTGGATTAATAAGCACATTATTAACTATTGAGCTATGGTATACGTGGAAAAAACTTATACAACACAAAACTTAGTTCGGTAAGACTGGTCTATAAAAAAGGCGTTAAATTTTCCTTTGAATAGAAAATAATACTAAAGCAAAAAAAGAAACATCTGCTTGGGCCACTCTCTACAAACATTTTTCATAATCGTTTTCTCACATATCTTTTCACCTCTAGGTTGCCTATACATTTGATGCAGGCCCCAATGCCTGTCTGTATTTACTGGAGGAGGATGTAGCGGGCGTACTAGCCATGGTAAACCATTGTTTTCCACCAATAGAGCAGAACGGAGACCAGTATATTAGAGGGCTACAAGTGGAAGAATTGCCTATTCAGAAGGTACTCACTGAACATTCCCAGTGTGTGAGCCTTTTCATGGAAGTTTATGAAGCTGACAATATGATACAATTTTGATTTTTATTTAAATGTTTTGCCATTTTGTGTTTCTTTTTCTTTATAATTTTAAAAAGCTATCAGTAGAATAGAATAATGAAAAAATATTACAGAAGAAATGAGTGATATTTTAATGAAAATGTCCTAATGGTAATAGTTAATATTTTCTTTGTAATACAAGCATTATATCCTTTTTTTTTTGTCTCCAAAGGATTTAAAAGAAAGTTTGGGGTTCACACCTCTATCCCCAGGGGCATTGAAGTACATCATACATACCAAGGTATGTTTTTGGTTGTTCACAGGCAAATTAATGAAACTGTCTTGCTTGCACCCTTAGTTATCAAACCACCATGTTACTTATTATCTTCAGTAGTTTTAATACCTAAAGCTACATCAGACTGGTTATTGTATGTGATGCTGTTAAATGTAGATCGACACACCTTAGCTATCATAAAGCCCAAGGTGTGGCATTGTTAAGTATTTTTACTTAAATAACATTATTGATTTAACTAAACATGATTATAAATGTTCATTTTTCCTGTGCTAAATTTCCTATGTAATTGTGATGAATTTGTGAAAAAAGATAATCTCAGTTAAACATTAGCAGTTTATTGCTGTCTTTTAATACAGGTGGGAGCTGGGCCACAAGTGCTGCCATCTACAGAATGTCTGCTGGATGAAAATGGACTGCCTAAAGATGCACATTCATGATGAGGGCTGGTGCCCAGCCTTTAGACACTCTTAGAAACCCAGGGTGTTGAAAAATGAATCATCTGTTAAAAGGCAGAGAATTATTGAGCTTTGAAGACATTAGCAAATTAATAATTCAGTCTTAGCTTATACAGGAAACAGGTGTTGGCTTTATGTACTGACACATCTGTGTCTGTACTTAAAAAGTAATAACATTTGGAAATAATATGTCCGTGTCAAATAAAAACTTGAAGAACGAGTTTCATACGTGGTTTGCTTATTATTTTCTTTATTGTATAGATAGTCCAATACACCTACTGCTTGCCAGAAAAGTGTACACTGATGAAAGTACTTTAATTTATGCCAATCAAAGTTTTATACTTTCAATAAATCTTCACTGATTTGAGCAAGATCTGGTTTCATAACATCTTTCATTTTGAAGTAAGCAATATCTTTCATATATATCTATAGCATAGCAATGAGGTCAGTGTTGTCATCTCACTTGCAGTGGACATACATTGCAAAGGCATCATCACCATTAACATACCAAACTGGAACTTTGCTGTTCTTTTAAGTTGCCTCATTTAGACAGCTATGTAAAAGACAGGACTGCACTGATGCATGGACATTTAAAGCAAAATACTTCTGTAGTCTTTATGGAATACTGGTTATTACACAAAATGGACTATTACGTCAACTGTACTTTCTGGTTTATGACCAGCAACACACGAAGACGGACAACAATGCCTGTTGACACCTCACTTGGTATATTTTGCAACTCCTCGTGCATGCGCACAACAGTAATAACACTACATGTAAACACTACATCTTCCATCAGACATTACTTATGATTGTAAGAAAAAAGTAGTGAAGAAAGACTTGTGGCCTTAAGACTGGATGCTGCTTGAGGCAGAAAAATCTGTATTAAAAATTTCTGATAAATAATGAAAAAAAAAATCAAGTATATTTTCATGCTCACTGTCATTGAGAACTCAATTTTCTGTAAATGTAAATCATATTTAAATAAAGTTGAAATTGCACATAAATTATACTATAGTTTTTCACTTCTGGAATTCAGTCAATTTCTTGGCATAAAATTAGCTGAATACATTGGTCCAATCATTTTAAGCATAATGTCAAATTTCCATGTGCCTACCATACACAGTTATCAAACATGTTTTACCCTGTCAAGAGCAACATAAAATTCATTCTTTATATTCACATCGTGCCAGCCAATAGGGCCGATTTCACAGTCTGCGCAGATCAGGTATTTGCTGGTGCCAACATTTTTGGTGAAGCCCACATTATCAAATGTGTACATGTCATCCACCAGCCAGCAGTCCGATAGTGTCTCTCCATTGGGATCTGTGCCCTCGGCTTTTTTCTTCATGTGTGGAAGGAATAGCTGGAAATGAAATGTAGTATTCTGGGTGTTAGTGATGCTGCTGACAATGGTGACATTAACTTTAAGGGAGGTTTTTTATTATCAACAATTATCTGAGTGGTAAAAAAAAAATGATGTCAATAATCAATTCACACAAGCTGCACATTATTACAGCTACTGCACCAATATATCAAATGTTTTAGTGCATTTTAACAGTACACACAAAATAATACATTAACTTTCAAACGACACAATAAAATTATTATAAATTACTACTGAGTACATGTACGTGAAATAACGCTTAAGAGTGAGATGGGTTTGTGGGATGGGAGAAGCTAATATTATAACAATTTTAATGACATTAAATAGATTAAATAAGTAAGGGTATCAGCTCTTAGCGGCATCGGAAGTGACGATCAATGAATTTAAAGTCTATCTCACCTCTTTTTGTACAAACTTGGCACTTCCTGGCCTAAGAACGACGCATCCGCAGCGTTCGCATTGCAAAGTTAGGCTATTTTTGCCATCTTTGACTAATTCAGCGTGGTTTGGTTTGATTGGCGATGCTGCCCCTTTGGTTTCTTCCCCGCTCACCCCCTCTGACATTGTCAAATGTGTTCTTTTGATTTTAACCACTATTCCGCATGTGAAAACTCTTTTGAGATTAGAGACCCGAATGTAGTACACTGAGATCGACTTCCGGTGTCTACAGGTGGGAAAATGAACGCATGTATCGAGTCTTAATCGGACAGATTTATGGTTCACAATAATCAATGTTTTGTTATGAAATATGCCCTGGTGGTTTTACATCTGCCTCTAGAGTGTGTGTTCTTTGTGTTGCATTATTTCTGAGGGTGATGATCGAAAAAGATGTGAAGTGGAACTGAACAAACTTGTCAATATTTTGCAACTTAAAAAAATAACATCGATTTAAAAATAATTATTATTTGAAAACTTTTAGCCAGAGTGTCAATGACATTTGAAGACGTTTAATCGTGAAATCAGTAAGTCGCATCATGTCTACCTGTAGTTCCCTTCCTCATTTTATTCTGTTTTTAAATCACAGTAAACTGTTGCTCTTCAAAATACATGTTTACAGATTCCAACATGAGTGGAAAGGACAGTGACTTGCCGGTAGCTTTTAAGAAATTTGTGTCGGAGGATGAAATAGAAGAACAGAAAAAACGTAGACAAGAAGAATGGGAGAAAGTGAGAACAGCAGATCAACCTATAGGTAAGAAGGCTATGGAGAAGGTGGGGGAAGTTTGAGGCATCCTTTTGTTATATTAGGAATATTTTTTACAAAAGTAATCTAATAAAAACTTCTAAGTTTTTTTTTTTTTTTTTTTTTTTTTTTGCAATCTTAATCACCTGAATATCCTTGGCTATTGTATTTTTAAATCACATTTTTAACTTATGTTTACTTGATAACATTATATAAAAAAGGTTACCAAAATTCCATGTATATTTTACTTTGAGTGAAATTGCAGTTTTTGAGCAGGAATTAGTATGCATTACCTGATAAGGGTGCAGCATCATTGTGGACAAGCATTTATAGGACCATAGAAATATTTCAAACTATAATATCAGAGAGATTATAATATATTATTTCCCTATGTTTCAGGTTGAAATCTTTATCTTTTTTAATTAAAAAATTTATGTTAAAGGAAAAAGGCATACAAGTTAAGACAAAAATGACATTTTGCAGCAAAGAGCATGCAATATTTCTCAAAGAGATTTCTGTGAGTTCATTAAATACTTTTCCTAATTGATGCCACATACTTAGCACTGATCTGTAATTGAAGGGATCATACTTCTTGTTTGATTTATTAAAAAATATATTTATCTATGATTTCAGAGGCCCCAGAGGAGGATTATGACCATCGATCACTGTTTGAAAGACTGCAGGAACAGAAACAGAAGAAAGATGATGAATACAATGAAAAATATAAACTAAGTAAACTTAAATTTACGTACTTTGTTTACTGAAAGTAAAAATTCGAGGCAAGCATAGATTCCCTGTGAGGCATATGAATCACTTCTTCCAGTTTCTTATACAACTCAATGCCGTAGTAATGTAAATGTGTGGTGCATAACTGCTGCGCATGCAAAAGCATAAATATTCAAATGAGTGGTGAACTCTACTGAAATATATGCAAAGAAAGAAAACGGAAAACATATGTTCAAACAGCTGTGTTCAAAGATTGTTTTTCAAGAAGACTGAGACAACATCTTTTGGTATTTCTTTAAGTTATGCTATTTGAAAATATACATGATACATTTGGTCAGGTTTAGTGACAAAGATTTGACTTTATATCATTTGAAAACAGATCCTAGGTAGTTATATACAGAACTGTAAAAGAATGTATATCCATGATGATTAGAGCCAAATAAGGTGTAGTAAATTATCTTAAAATTTTGGCCAAAAGATTGGATATCATTGCTATATCATTGTTGGTTCATATTTATTTGATATTCAGTTTAACTTCAAGGTATACTTATTTGGTTGTTTTCTTACAAAGATATGACTTTTAGTTCCCCTCTTTGTTATTTCTAGGTAATATGGTAAAAGGACTCGAAGATGATGAAGCACAGTTTTTGGACTTTGTTTCTGTAAAACAAGAACAGATTATGCGGGCAAGAGAAAAAGAAAATGAGGAAGCACTAGAGGAATATAAAATATCCTTTTTCATTTGATAGCAAGTGTTTTTCAAGATGTTTTGGACTATTTTTTTGCACATTTTGTATCTCATGGAAAGGATGTAAAAATGTTTCTTTGTTGATTTGAAATCAGCTGATGCATGTTTTACACGTGTTTTCATAATCATTTTTCAATTTAAGTGACAGAAATATAAGTTTTAATGTTTTACAACCCTTGTGTATTTTTTCTTTACTCCTTTGTACAATGCAGTGATGAATTTGGCCACCACTTCAGCAGCTGCAAAGAAAGACGATATCAAAGAAAAAACAAAAACAAAAAACAACCATGCAAACCTCCAAAAGGTCACAGTCACAGTTGTTAGCAGGAGCAGTGAAGAGGAAAAGGTAGAGAAAACTATAGGATCCAGATCTTCCTGTGATACTGTTGATTTGTTTAAAAGCATTGGGGCAGAAAATTTTAATATTAACCTTTAATGATTTTACAATAAATTGTTTTTAATTAGTCAGACTTCATTATTGGTGAAACTTTTAATGATTACGATTGCCTTTAGGGAGAATGAATGATAGTAAAATTAAATTATGGGTTTCTCAGAGGGGAAAGGTGCATGATTCACTGTATTATCATTTTGTCACACTAGTACTGAGGCCAACAGCAACAATGAAGACTCTACAAAGAAGACCAAGATAGCAAATGCAGAGGGTAAGGCATATATTATTTTCATGATTTAGGTGGTTGAAATTGCATGAGTGAGTTTTTTTGACACAGACTTTGGTGTGAGATGATACAGGAATTGCCTAATTTGGCACCAATCGGTTTTATGCCTGAGCTGTGAGATTTTGCTGAAAAAAATTGTTAATTTTCCTGTAATATGTTTGTTCAGTGATTGTGTGTCCTTACTTGTCCTTGTGTGGCTTTTGTTTCTGCTTCAGTCACATTTTTAAAACATTATTATAATGTTTGTTGACCAAAATGTATCCTTTGGATCTGTCCCTGTCTCTGTTCTTTAATTAATTCCATTCCCACAAAATCAAATGGAAAGCTTGTCTATAAAGGTTCTTGTGCTTGTCAGGGTCAGCTGGAGACAGTAAAAATCAGCCAAACACCAATGGGGCACAGACAGCCACTCTCGGCCAATCAAAGAGGGCGTTACAACAAGGGAAGCCACAGGTTGCCAAGGTGATTGGCATTCTGCCTGGAATGGGTTACTATACGGACAGTTCTGACTCTGAGGACTCTTCTGCCAGTGAGAATGATGACCGCTTGGATGAAGACGTGTCCACTGTGTCCAAGATAAAAGGAACGGTCAAATCTTGTGAGCAGACTTCATCAGGAGGGCAGAATCATTAGCAGCTGATCACTTAAGACATAGAGGCCAATCAGAACAGAAGATTTGGGGATCTACTGATCCATGGATCAAATATGGTGGACCCTACATGAAAGAAGAGCCCACTAATCCGCTGATGATCTCTCCACCTCCACACGCGCCGCCCTTGCAGAGGTTTAGCAGTTAAACCTCGGAGCCATGATTTTATATGTTTATTGGCGTGTGTGGAGGTGGGGAGACCATCAGCGGATTAATTGGCTCCTCTTTCAATCATGTAGGGTCCGCCATATTGATCCGTGGATCAGTAGATCCTCGGATATTCTGTTCTGAATGGCCTTATAAACCCAGAGAACATATGGTCACAGTGATACACCAGACACTAGTACTTCATATACACTGGTCTCTTTTTAAAACTTGATACAGTTTCTATTATTGGCATCAATAGAGGGAAGTTCACAGTGAAGTGGCTAATACATGTTACCTGTGGTTGTATACAAAAGTTTGGCCATCGTTTTCGCCTCATGGAAGTTTTTAGTTAACATGTCATATTTTATATAAATTGGCAGAGAGAAGAGAGTACCCCATTTATTCCAATATTTGAAGTCTAGTTCAACATTCATCGTTTGGCTAAATATTTGGAGGTGCATTTAAAGGTTATTTCCCTTAATTATTTGTTCATTCTCCATTTTTGTGAGAGCAAAGAATATTTGCAGTGTTTTTAGATTTAACTTTTGCTTCCTTGACATGTATATATACATATATTTTTCTGTCAAGGTTAAAGATTCGGTAATCATCGATTCCTGTAGCTCCGCTGTCAAGCAGAAATTTGTCAAATGGTCTCAAGTAACTGGTTCTGTAACAATTTAGTCATCTGGAATTTATTTCAGTTTTTGTATATGCTACAGTCATAATTAACATTTTAAATGCATAAATAAAATGAACTGCTGTTCAAATTTAAACTTAAAAAGTCTGACCAAGTTTAAACATTTTATTTGATACGAGAGAGAAAAAAAACATGCACTCCCACAAATCACAAAAATATTTAAGATTGCATACTAAAGTTTTATTTTATTTTTCTTTGAATAAAGTGTTATTACATGGTGAAAGTTAGTTCAGTAACAAACAGTTACTGCCCTTTAAGCAACACAATGTCACACACCTTCCAAAGAAAGCCATGCAGACCAATTTCACACATCACACGTTGGAAAGCCCAAGTCTTCAATAATACTACTTGTTGCTAGAAACTATGGTCAGACATTGCCTTATATTTCACAATGCATTCAAGTAAAAGTTAAAAAGCACTAGTTAATATTGATATCATAACAAAAGCTATTTTAAGGGTGACTAAAACTTGGAAAGAAGTTATGTGAGTGAAAATGGTCAGTTGGCAAAGGCAATCCTATTTTTACAAATTGACTAGCATTTGTACTGGATATAAATACAATTTGTCTAGAAGTAAAACAAAAGTTAGACGACAAAATTTACAGCTTGCAGCATTGTTACCCTATGAGCTGCTTCATTTATTTCACTTAATCTAAAACTAATGAGCATTTTGTTAGTAATACTGGTTTTCAAACAATAATAACTTAAATGTATTGGGAATTATTTATGGCTACATAAGGCAGGCATAGCTCGAAAAAAAAAAAAAAAACTTTCTCCAACTTCATTATTTGATTTTGATGTCTTATAAAAATGTCCCCCTTTTATCTTTTTTTGTACAAATGGACAATCACAGCCCTCTTGTCTGTGGTTTTCAAAGCAAGAATTACTTTTCCCACTCAACATCCATAAAGAACATTCTTCAGAAAAAAATGTTTGGGAAATCAATGTAATTGTAATGAGAATATACACATACTTGCTAATGAATTGGGGATTAATCTGAGTACGAAAATGCTTTTAATATGTTACACATGGGATTTATCTGCACAAATATTGGGTCATTTACTTGAAAAAAATGAGTTAAATGAAAGACATTTTATCTTAGAATTAAAGGCGACCCCTTAATGGTTACAAAAATGTTAATGTGAGCAACAAAATCAGTAGACCACAAAGCTATACAACATAAAACAAACAAAAGCTAAAATGCCAACAAAACTTGCCATCTTATACTGCATACTTTTGATTTTTATTTCCAGCACCAAATATGAATATTTTACTGAAAAAAAATTAAAGCCATTTTAGTCTTAAATATAATTAGCAACCCATGTAAGATCCATGAGAGGTATTTGCAACTGAATACATGTATTTTAAACATTTTACTATAGTCATGGGTGAACAAAAAAAAAAACATTTTTGGTAACCTTACCTGATGTATGTTTAATGGAAGTGGTTTTCGCATAAATAACTTATTGTAAGTGAAGCTTAATACTTATTAGTCCATTATTTTACACATGAAAACCACTTGGCAAAGTTTATAGACTGGTTTTATATCCTGGCAATATTTCACATAATGGCTAAATAAATTCAAGCAAAATTAGGCAATTCCTGTATCATCTCACACCAATCTAAATCTCTCCCACTGAATTGCTAGTTTGTATGCATATACAAATAAAATTCATATCCTCTTTTCAAAAGTGTGATTCCAGTATCTTCACCAAATATTTAAAAAATGCAAATAAACAGACCTGTACAGCCATGTTAAAAGTATCACTTGAAATACGAATTGTTAAAACCTATACACAGAAATGCATCCAACTTCATGCACCAATCTATTTTTCTCTTCACCTAATTATCTCAATTCGCCCTGATCTCCAGAAATGAAATAAACTCTGCTACAATGGACACAAAACACATGGAATAATATCCTGTTACCTGATCTATCTTTGGTTTTATTGGGAATCTAAAGCTGTGTTATCATCTTGCTAAAGAATTTTGATTCATAACTAATATGTTTACAAGAAATCTGAAAAAAATTAAAAAAATAAATTAAAAAAAAAATCTTCCACAGGATTGCCAGTGCAAGACATTAAGTTCTCACTCATCTATTTGTTTTTTTTTGTTTGTTTGTATGTTTGTTTTTGGTGAATGTGTTATTTTTTTAATCATGATAAATAATAGATCTAAATAATCCTGCTTGTGATGACAGTTCATTTACATCAAACTGTCTCCATTATCTTTGGTGGGTTAAACTAATAAAGGCATTAGGGGCAAACTTTCTTACAGTCAAACTGATAACTATAAATGGTTTCAATTTGCCATGGTAAAATTTTATGAACTTCAGCAGCTATAAAATGACACTGTAACTTAAATCATCCTAATACTTAAAATGGCAAGAAATAGACTGTGATTTGAGAAATGCATCTGGATCCAAATATTTTAATAAATGAATAAATACACTGAAGTTGACAATGGAAATTAATCTAAAAGGGGAAAAATCAAAATCTTTGAGTATTTGTGACTGTAATTTCCCCTATGCCTTTATCTATATATACATATATAGCTAATAAAGCTAAAATGTGCACCACAACGTACTTACATTTTTGCATTGGAAGTTTGCAAATCACATTAAAAGATCTACCTGGACTATTAGGATACATACCATGCACCTGAAAGCACTGAGATAAATGTTTATCTATATTTTGTACATGGGAATTAATTTGGGCATTTTTATATGCAATATACATCAGCCACCCCTAATTTCAGAGTCTTAATGGAGACTCATCTTACATTCTCTATGGCCTAGATTAGCTCAGTGGCATAATGATAACAGGGTCATGCTGAAAACGAGAATTACCATCAATCCCCTGTACCCTCCACCAGGGTGGCAGATATTATAGGCAAATTTTTAAAAAGCCATAGAATCAAATGAATGTCTATTTATCTAAAGACATATCTGTGAATATCTTGTGAAAAGTCAATCTGTCGCCCTGGTAGAGGGTAAGTCTCCTGAACCTCGGTGTTATTTGCTGTATCCATAACACATCATCTCTCGCAGCTAATATTGTGTTTTAATATTGGACGCTTCAGTCAACAGGTCATCTATACACAATACTCGAGCCCTCGCTATCCAGTCTCGTGCGTTCTTTTGTCTTCTTCTCTTTGGAATCTTTTTTCTTAAACAGGGACGTGCTAAGCTTGAGGCGGCCAGCCTTGGCACTCTTGCTACTGGACACACTGGCTGTCATGCTCTGCATCTTGGCTGTGCCTGAATGTGTTTGTTTCAGAATGTTAATAAACAATTATACACATCTGAAAATCCCATCAATTTAACTGTAACTAACACCGTAGAGCATTTACTGCCATACTGTAATGTTTAAATATAATCAGTTAATATAATGGTTAAACATAATCAGTGCACAAGCATTCTTGCCAACCTTATTTTGGTACATTTATGGTCAACCAAATGCTTGGTTGTCAATGAAGAGATTTACATGATTTGGTAACACAGATGGTACCATATAAACATTTTAATCAAGTTTTAACTGTGCATGTAATGTCAAAAAAGTTTGTAAACGTACATAAAATTTAAAAAATCTATAATAAGAAAAACTTTTAGGAAAAAATGAACTGTTGAGACTGCAATAACAAATCAAAATCTGCCTTAAAGACATCTTCAGACTTTCAATTTTTATAATACCTTCTCCGCTCGTAGCGCCTCCACTATACGTGTGATATGCTTTCTTGCTGGCAGGTTGTAGGTAATTCTTGTCCATAGGTGTCACTAGTCTCAATGACAGGCTGTTCCCAGCTGCTCTGATCAGTGCTACCATTTCTTCATGCTTGGACCATTTTGTGTCCGAGTCTCCTACTGATATGATGAAGTCTCCTACTCTCATGCCTGCTTTCTGTAGAAACAAAATATAATCCTAATTAATATACCTTATCACAAAGCACACTATCGTAAGAACTGCTTCATAGATTTTGGTTTTTGTGCAATTCGACATCAAACCTTAAATTCATCTGCTTCCTTTTGGATTCTAAAATTAGTTACAGTGTAACAGATCCAAATCCAAATGAACTTATTAAGTGATTTAGGCATCAACCACATCATTTTATCGTCTAAAAACAGTTACAGGATAAAAGACAATTATCAACAAGCTATTGCAAAATCCCCCACCTCACAAATACTCCCATCTTCCACGGCTGCTATGATAACAGGGGAATCCCCTCGTACACTGAATCCATACCCTTCATTGGTGTTCTTGGTCAGTTCAAGAGTTCTAGGGGCAGACCAGTGATTCTTGGCAGAAAATATAGCTATTGGACCCTAGAAATATACATACGGTGCATTTAAAAAGTTTAGTCAAGTTCTGAAGGATGGTGTGAATAAATTGATAAGTTGTTCTTACAGAAATTTTTCTAAAAAATTGTGCCAATTTCAAACACATTTATCATGTAATAAAAATGATGCACCAAAGTTTGCACATCCAATATTTAGCCATTACATCCCCACAATGCCAGTGCACGTTTTCCAATCAAACTGAACAGAAATCTGAAATGTATATTGATTATTAGAAGGTATTTGTGTATCGTGAACAACCAGTCACTTACCAGTTTTTCAAATAAATCTCGCACTTTGTGCTTTGCGAAATCTGGAGGGATTGTCTTGATTGCTTGTTTGGTAGAATCTACAATTAAAACAAGACAAGAATGTTAAATCAAGAATATTTTAACTTCCATCAATATTCACTGCATTGTCCTATTAGAATTTTCAAAGATGTACGTGTATTTACAGTATGCTTGGTGCTAACAATAGTTTCAACATCAGTGACTTGTATAAAGCCGTTTTGCAAAATTTTCATTCAATGTTAGGTAAATATATAAAATATTAAAATACCCTGAACTATTTTTTTTTTCTGGAGAGAAAGAACACTAAGTAACAACTACATATCTTCATTCAATTGAGAGAGTTTAGCACCAATATGGTTGTAGAATACAGATGTCTCAAATGAGAATTTTAGTGAAAAATTCAACATGTCAGAATACTGACAAAGGTCATCCTTGACACAAAGTTCTCTTACGTTTCACCACAGGCACTGTTTGTAAATCTAATGAGAAATCATCTTCCTCTTCTAAGTCAGCAAACCTTGAGAGGGATCTAGAAATAGTTGACAATGTGCACTATAAGCTTCAGTCATTATACAGAATATGTCCCAAAGAAAATATGAAAACAAGCAATTTTTTAGATAATGATGTACCTATATTTATTGTCAAATATATTACTTTTCTACTAATAATATGTAACAGATGCAATAATATTGGCTAGTAGCGTATCAGTTAAATTTTTTAGTAACTAACAAAAGAATTTCTTCACTTACACTAATAAAGGTGTAAAGAATCAATCTGCACAGAACTCTATACTCAGCAATGAGTGTCCAACAAAACAGTACAAATTCCATTGCAATTGTACCCCATTAAAGTCTACCATGTCAGAACAGACTGTTACCCAAACACCACCTGTTGTATTCTATCTAACCTGTCATGTGCCTGCTTCAGTATTTCTTGGAATGTGTCAATTTTCCGTAGCTGTTTACACAGCGTATGAACCCTCATGGAATCCTCGTGCATTATCATAGCCTCTCTCAGGTGAGCTTTACCTGAAAAAGGTGGGGGACAAATTAATATTTAATGCAGTTTTTGATAAGACAAGTCATGTTATGCTACAAAGTAGGTCTTGAAGATTCAGACATCTGATCAAAGTCGTTAGCTGGCACAATAAGACAGCATAGAGTTCTAGCTTTATCCTATAACTTATATAATTAAGGCAAGAAGATCTATTAATGTATTTCCTTTATACGAAGCTTCATATGAAATGAGGCTACCATGATACTGTCTAATCTTACAAATTTTATTTTCTTTGTAACACGCTCACTATGACAGCTTAGTACTAAGCTTTAATTATAAATAAATTAATTAATTAATTTAGCATCAGAGATCAGATGTGGTCCACTTACCCAGCGTCGTCCTCTCCTCCTCTTTGGTTGGTGAGTGTGTTGTGAGAGTGGAACTGCTCGAGTCCAGGTAAAGCTCTGAGAACAGCCCGGCTAATAACTCCACATTGTTACTGTCTGAAATCAGCAGAAATCATTGAAAAACAAGATGGGTGTTAAGAATAATCAATATATAAATTTAAGGCTACAAGTTAGAATTTGAGATATTTATGCTGCCGTGTTACAGCAGTGTGTGAACCAATCATTAGAAAATTAAGATTAAAGAAAAAAAAATAACACTTTTGAGATCTTGCAAACTGTTGAGATATAAGACAACAATTTGATTTTAGATTACTAATAATACAAATAAATAAATAAATAAATAAATAAATAAAATAAAACTACATGAAAGATTTATGAGTTCTTCTGCAATATTTTAATACTGTACAACATTCTATCATTTTCTGTTACCTAAAAGTAACAGAAACAGCATCATAAGATTCTGCAAGCTAAATTCAGATAATGAACCTCACCTTTCTGATCTAGTAGCCCCACTGCTGTGTAGTAATGTGACAGAGCTCTGTAGTGCTGAGACTTCACCAACACCATGGAGATCCACGAGAATGGGACGTAGTCTTTTAGTTGGGTAGATGACATCATTTTGTGGGTCTCATTGTAAAGTTTGGAAACCTGTAGAAAACATGTAGGTTACGGACTGATTTAAATGCAGATTTTTTTCAAAGACAGTGTAAAAGCTTAAACAAGGTACAAGAGATCAGATAATATATGAATTATGTTACATTTGTCATGCTACATGCATGTACAGCACATCTTTCATCACATTAACACTGCAAATGAATAAATCCATTTTCCTATCTACTAAGTAATTTTTGACATTACAAAAAAAAAAAAATTAATCACAATACTTTAAGAATACAACACAGAATTACAGACCTGTGCTGCTTCATGTGCTACTTCAAGACAATTTTGTAGCCCATCTTGTACACCTCCTAGTGTCTGTTTCTCAAACACGCATTCTTGTGCTTGTGCCTGAAAATAAAAATGGAGAAAACTTAATTTCAGTCTCAAATGTGAAAAGAGCACATAATTACTGGACATACATAAACTGTCACAGTCAAATCTCATCTCATAAACAGAACATCCAATTTATAGACAGAGAAAAGAAATACTGCCCATATTAAATATTCCTTTATTTTACTTCCACAAATTTCTTGAATCATACAGTATGGGGGAAAAAAGCTCAACTAAACAATCAAAGTAAAATGTACCTGCCAAAGTCTTAAATGTACAAAATATTTTTTCAATACAAAAACCCACTGTGTCTGCAAGTTGTGTCTTACCAGCATTAAGTGTCCCAACATTGTAAGAGTGTGTGGCTGCATGTCCATGCTCGGCGCATGGCTGAATCTATCCCGCAAGTACACAAACGTGCCTGCTGCTTGTTCAAAATTACAAATGGCCGAGTCAATTCCTTCAACCTTGGACCGATCCTGTGAAGCAACAATGCATGGTCTATCAATAACTTACATTAACAAAAATCATTCTTATTAATTCAAAGATCAATCACTGTACTTGCATATACAAATGTTAATATCATTTAAGTGACATAAGCATCAAAAATAGTATCTACACTAGAGGATCAGAGAGGCGATACCGCCTCCGAATATTGTACCACCAGCTGGAGCAAGCGCATTCGTATAGACCCCCACATATACAAAATAAGGAACACAGCCACCNTGGCGGCGGAGCCGCAGGAGCCGGCGGAACATACGGGTCGGGACTAAAACCATGTGTACCGCCAGCGCCTACGCTGGTGGTACAATTAATGGTACTAGTCAACTGACAATTTACTCCACCTCTGGGGATGTATAATCAAAGCCATTCAAAACAATTTAGTAAGTTCGTACAATTCAACTCAAATCATAAAGAATCATCAGAGCTGAACACTTACCGATCTAGCACCAATCTGTGTGTAGAGAGCTGCTATGTTAAACAGCACACTGCCCTTTTCAAACCCCATTGTCTTCTGAGCTGTGGGAACACCTGTCAGGGAGTCATACCTGGGGGAGACAGAGAAAAAAAATTGAGAAAGAAAGTTTTTTAACTACCATTTTTGCTCTAAAATCGTAAATCAGGGGCAGATAGAGGACATCTTCTGGGTCTCCTGGAAGACGGTCAGAATCTTTCAGTTTACATTGACAGGCATCTAATTTTTTCTGTCAGATGACAGTCAAAAATGGAGGATAGATCAACAAAAATAATTTGGAAGACTGTAAGAAAATATCTCTGGACGAAAGAGAAGAATTGAGAAAGAAGTTCCTTAATCTTCAGAATTTCCTTCATATCAGTGTCTTCCATTTCCTCTATTACAGTAAATCACGTCAACTCACCAATGAAAGTATATCCCCAGACTCCTGTCTGTTGGGAAGAACCTCTTCTCTATAAAATACAACTGGTTGTAATACTGATATAGTAACTCCAGACCCAGGGGGGATCTTTGAGGGGTCCTCATGGCCTGAGAAAAAAACAAAACATTTATGTTAAACTTATAATGAAAAATCGATTACAATGCTGAAATAAAATTCTTTTGTTTAAGAATAAAGTAATATTTTACAATATACAGCCTTAAAATTTAAAATCGATTACTGAAACCATGAAATTACTTTGTACGGCTTTGTGGTTGGGAGGTCAAAACCAAAAGGGACAAAGTTTATCTTTGTGTAATTATATAAATGCTATTTGTTTAATTTGGTGAAAAATGAGCCATTTAGCTCTGAATGTAGCAATGAAAAGAAAAAAAATTGCAAGTTCAACCAAAGATACACATGTGATTAAATAAATATTTTTGTATTTATAGACTAAGACAATTTATAATTACTATTTATTTTCTTGGAAAACTGAACTAAATTTGGAGTAAAAGTACATTCAAAACCTGTCAAGTACATAACCAAATACCCCAACCTATAATGTACAGTGCCAGATGCAGCTGGAATGCCACTCATTCTCATGAATGGAGCCAAGGATCAGCAGGAAGAAAAACTCAAGGCATGCTAGACTTAGGGACCATTCAGAATAGGGGACTAACTAGTCCATGGATTAAATATGGCAACCCACTACAAAGGTTGCATTCTAATCCGCTAATAGACACTGAACAGATATCCTGTGGGGAAGTATTCAAGTGTGTCAGCCATATTTGTCCCTCGAACTACTTAGATCGCATTCACAACGAGTTGAGCCAGGCTTTACAAATCCTGGGGACTAAATATGGCGGACGTACATGAAAGAAAAACCGCCTAATCTTTAAATCGTCTCTCCGCCTCTCACACGCCTCCCCAAGATTTAATGACTGTCCCCCCGCAGGGATGACGTGTGGGGAGGCGTGTGAGAGGCGGAGAGACTATTAAAAGATTAGGTGGTTTTTCTTTCATGTACAACCGTCATATTTAGTCCCCAGGATTTGTAAAGCCTGGCTCAACTCGTTGTGAATGCGATCTTAGTCCTCTATTCTGAATAAGGCCTTAGGGCCTGGCCACGCCATACAAACACACACCATCACAGAGAAAGACTGAGGATCTGGTATTACAGGCATGTCTGGCGGCGTCAGATAGAATTCAAATACCAGATGCGAAATCTTGGCTCATGCTAGCATGTGTAGTTCTTGCCAGTAGAATATTGATCATTTTTATCTGCCCATGTATTAAGAGTCAGATTAAAAATAAGCTGATTTCTCAAAGGTTTTGCTAAAAATACTTGGAGACAGTTGCCTGAGTGTAAATCAGACTGAATTACTGAATGTTATAATGTACTGATAATGGAACCTGATACTACTGTGCATTTTTCACCAAGCCCCTGAAGCACTGAAATTTTACTTCATACATATCTATCTATCCACCTCATCATAAAGACTAACAGTACTTCAGTTTCTCCCAGGTCAAAGTAGTAAAATTTCTGTTTTCACATTAAAATGAACCTGGGGCTTATGTACTTTTGTGAAACAAGGGCATGATTTAAATATACCTCACTGCACTGACAACGACTTTACAACAACACCAAGGCTGAAAACTTCAACAAAAGATAATTTCTACATTATATCTCAAACTACCTTTCACCGATGTGGGATTGCGAAATACAAAACACTGTTTTAAAAATCACAAGTCAGACAGTGACATGAAATTATTCTCATAGCTATCAAGCACGTACTGTCAGGTCTGCTGTCTGGGTAGTAACAGATGTATCACACCATCACAGATGTCTGACATCATTCTGCCAGTAAGTAAGTCATTTTAACAGTCAGTGGGACTAAAAACATAAATAAATTTCCATGGCATTTCTGTATACTCCCTAGCTATGTGTCAGCTGTAAAAGGTAGTGAAAAACCTAGTTTTAATGTATAGATCTACTATTTCTGGTGAAAAATCTTACATTACTATTAACTCTCTACTAAGGAATTATAAATAAACAAATTAAGTGAAACTAACAAATATTATAACAATTTAATAATTTTTTCAAATGTTTTTGCCACAATAAATAATTATAATCCTCGATGGGAAAATCACAATTTAGAATGAACTCAAGGTAAGGTAAAGTTAGGTGCAGTTGAATCCCTGCCACATAATTTAAAAGCTGTCTAGACATGCCTGGAAGGGTGCATTTAAAACAGGATATCTATAATCTTTGACACCTGCCACAGGAAATCTACCTTGATGGAAAAGTTACTACCTCTCTTTATAATTTGTTCCCTTGCAGATCAAGTATCAGATCTATTCCAATTTTTGAGTTGTAATGTACCCCTTTTATCAATTTCTCTCTCACTCCTATTTTGCCCTGTCCAAATGATATCAACTAACTTTTGCAAGTCCAGGAAAAACAATCTAACAATCGCCCATTCCAAATAAAAGATCTCTTCTTCAATTCTTTTCTCTGCCATGCAGGATATATCCAAAGTTCCATCCTCTTGCTACCTAATATCCATGGTCTTTGCCCCTGTCTTTATCCCTTGCATTCCAGGAGACCATCTTCAACTTGTTCTCTATTTCCCAGTCCAACAGTCAGCCTAACTTTGACCCTAGTATGTTGGACCTCATTCCCATTCCTTCACTTTGCTTCCACCCAACCTCCTTTGGATCCATCACCTTCTATCACCAGGCCAATGATATTTTTGGCTCGTCAAAAGTCAGAAAATCTCGTGATTATATAGCCACTATCAATCAATTAACTAAGTATAACTGGGATTCGCCCCCTCCCCCATCTCCCACCTGTTTTACTGTCAGTTCTCTATACATTACCTGTCTCATGTCCATAAGCTCCTGGATCTCAAACTGAAATTTCTCTCCTTCCTCACTGTAATGTTCTGATATGTAGTCCTGGAAAGAAAAACAAAACTTACTTCAACAACAACAACAAAAAAAAAACAGATAAATTCTCAATTTCCTAATTTGTTATTGAGCTATGACTAGGAAAACAACTACAAGTTATCAAATTAATGAAAAAAAACAGCCTCGTGAAAAAATCTTTACTAGTAATAAGAGAAATTATCAGGCAGAGTGTATTTATAATAAAAACCCAAACATGAACATTATGAAATCTGAGGGGCACAACTTTATTTTCCCTTCCAAATATCAGAGAAGAATTTTATCAACTGTGTTATGTTATAAAAATAAAGTTTTTTTTTTTCAATCAATAGCTTAATATTAAAATAGTTTACTTCCCTTACTTCAATGTGGTGGGCAATAGGGGAAAAGGGGGGGAGGGGAAGTATATCTCCTGAATAGAGGCTATTTACCTGGAGAGCCTCATTCCCTGATGAAAATGCTCTGTCAGACATTGAAATATCTCAACTATCTCAATATCAAGCTGTTGATTGAAGGAAAAAAAATTACATTATTCCTTCCAAACATGTTTTTCTTTAAGTACCTTTAATGGAATGCTGAGGTCAACTTCCTGGGTCTCTTTAAGGCCAAGTGGAATCATTGGAACATTCTGGGCACTGAAAATAAAACATGGTACATCCAATCAATCATTTTTAACATGACCAGTTCCGTAACAGAAACAAGTATGTTACATGACATAAGTGAAAACGTGGTAGAAAAATCACACTTTACAATAGGCAGCACTCGGGATGCGTTGGGCGCCATAAATAAGCTTGCCTTGCCCCATTATACGCACATTTTTCCACAGAGCAACAGGTGTTTATGAAGCAGTTTTTGAATGATGCAATGTGAGCTGATAAAAAACTTCAGTCCAAAGTTTGACTGAACTCTGAGGATGCAAAAAATTTAAGACTACATTGACGTTCCATAATGATTGTGTAGTATATAATTAGCAAGTCCACGATGACGATAATATATGGTCTATTTTAAACAGGATAGATGTTTAAGGCCCATTCTTAACTTAGTGGACTGCTAACGATTTATTCTGGATTGAAGTGGGTCATATTTTTCCATAAATTAGTGTTTAAAAGTTTGTATAGTGTAAAAAATGGTAGAATTTCATACAATTCTTTCTCTCATCACAAACAGTATCCATTTTACATTCACCATCTTACAGAAATTTTACATGTCAGTAATCCTGTTGATGACAAAATCATGTTTTCCAAATGTCGTAGCATGTAGGAATCAAAACCTGAACATCTGCTAATCATGATAATGGTGAAACCGTATCACAATGGAACAAGCAATTCCAAACTGCAACCTCAATTCAAGACAATGTAGAGAAAAGCATGCAAGATTTCATTTCCATTCACACTGCAAATATACACACAAAAAGAGGGGATTATAGGGAATGAATATACAACTCTAAAAATAAAGCCATGAAAACAAAACCCTTTCAATGGTTCACAAGTCAAATGCATATCTTTTTGTAATCAGCACTTTCTAATCAGAAAGCTAGGGGCAAAAATCCAGGCAAGGACACGCAAAAGCACAAGTCTTTTTCTATTTAAAATTCAACTTTGCTATCCTCAAATATGCTTTTAATTGCTCAATTATCAAAATATTTCATGATAAAGATTTAAATGCTAAGAATATACCAGCCATATGATGACCTTAAACTGCAGTCTAATTTTTTCACAACAATCTGATCATGACAGCCACTGCAGTGCCTGTCAATGTCCAAGTATTAATACAGATTTCTCTAAGGTACCCTGCACAAATTCCACATTGGGGTATAAATACAGGTTACTCCAAGGTACCATGCACACATTCCACAAATTGGCATCTAAATACAGGTTACTCCAGGGTTTCATGCACAAATCCCACACTGAAGTATAGATACAGGTTACTCCAGGGTTTCACGCACAAATCCGACACTGAAGTATAGATTAAGGTTACCGTTCTCTAGGGTTTCATGCACAGATACCACACTCAAGTATAAATACAGTTTTTTCCAGGGTACCCTGCACAGATCCCAAATTGGTGTCCACATACAGGTTACTCAAAAGTACCATGCACACATTCCAAACTGGAGTTTAAATACAGGTTACTCCAGGGTACCCTGCACAGAAAACAACAGATACTGCCAGGGCACTGAACTTCTTTTGGATTTGTACTTTTATAAAAACAGAAAATACACAGACTTGTGTCAGCAATTACGATCAGGTCAACTGCAACGTGGCAGAATTCACAGTCAACATTTTGAAACGATTTCACATCATTTGACCTCCAGTGACTTTCAAAATGTTTTCAATACAGATATTCAGGGATCAAAACTATTAGGATGGTTTAAGTAATCAGCAAATACTTTTGGGGGGTCAAGGGTGTAGTGATGTTACTTTGATGAGTCAAAAAACATCAATTATTGACCCAGGGGTATATTAATAATTATCACAAAACTAATTTGTGGAATTCTATTTCAATGAAAGTAAATACTTCCAACAAAATTCTTCTTGTTATATGGTTAATGACTGACTTTATTGACTGCCACGAAAACACTTCACTTTTCACAGCTCAGTACACAGCTCAGTAGACAACTATTTTCTTGACCTTTTCTTGAACCTGGGGAAGTGTGGTCAACATACATGACTGGTTATTTTTTCCTCCTTTTTTTTTTTCATAACCACAGGTTAGAATATATCTGCTTGGAAAGAAGCACTGGTTGGACAGGTGCTGGGCACAGTAATACCCATTACTGTAATGACTCCACTTTTCAATGAGAAAAAATTATGAATTTTACAGATATTGTATTTTTTCAAGTCATAAATTCTTCAAATTAGAATATTCCTTTTGAGTGATAGCAACAAAACTGATAAGCATGCTACTTTATTGCTTCTAATATAAACCGAAAAAGCACCACAGATGCTTCACAAAAATATTTTTTTAATGATTTAAAATTATGTATGATCTGAAAAATTGTTAGTTTTTCCTCATTGAAAAGTTGAAGTCATTACCGTATCTATATTCAGCAATGGCAATGCTAATAATAACATATGTAATTTAAACATTGTGGATATAACGAAGGCCAGAATCAAACCTACCAAATCAAACTAACTAGTTAAAACTAAAAATGTTTAAGTGTCTTCCTCCTCCACTCTTTAACATGACTACCCTATATTTGCAAGAATGGGTCTTTCAAACACACGCAAACTGCAAATTCACACATCTTACGATCTCAAGCAGAATTTCACAAGTGCAATAGGACTTGGTTCCGCAGAATGGGGTGAGGTCCTATTTGCAAGCAAAACTGTGTTAATAACATATGATGCATTCAGAACCATTCTAACTTTGAACAAGAATTTGTCAACTGACTTTACCACGGAACCTAAAGAAAAAAATCTATAGCATAATAGTGTGAAGGTTCCTTAATGTCAGTTGAGGGCCATTCTACAGTAGTTCCCTCTCTGTATCATCCCCACTACCTTCTATAAAACTTTTAATCTCTTTCATGTGAAAACTAATAAGAAGCAATTGCTTTTTTAATCAATTTCTCTGAGATAAATCAAAAAGCAAAGCATTCTGCGGAGAAAAAAGAGAAGGGGAAATTTCTATTGAATGGCCCTTTGACCTTCCCCAATTTAAGTTGGTACGGTTCTGAACACACCTGAACAAGGAAACAACAATTAACCAACATATAAACACAACAAAATGGTTAATAATGCAATTCTAGCTTGTCAATTGACAGGTACCATTATTTGTAGATATGAAAATTTAGGTCTGATCACATTTTAAAAGATGAAATAGCCCCACTTATTACAGGCACTTGCATGTGGTGTTTAAGTTCTAGTTGTAAATTGTTAAAATGTCCTCACTGCATTCATTTTTTAACTTAAAACTATCCAAAAACATAGTTCATAGCAGTTTAACACATTAATGTTAAGGCATTAAAATAAGCACTGCTTAATTTTACAGGCAAACTTACTTGTTGCTCTGGTATATCTGTACAGAACTGTTCAGGTCTGAGAGTTCTTCCTTCAGTAACTGGAGGTTGGAATTGACAAAACTCAGTTCCAGAGCCACCGTCTCCTTCAGCTTTTTGTTGCCAGTCGCTCTGTAAAACAAGGAGTGACATTTATTGAGCAACAATGTTCATTAGCTTGGTAGTTGGATCTTAAATAAATATTATCAAACACAAGCTGAAAATCTTTATACTATTACTAGTAGCTTGCGGCCAACCTGGACGCAGTCCTTCATCAGACTGGTGTGAGATGTTGTTACTTACTGACCGCTAAGTGGTATAGTGGCCAGGATCCTCTTACAAAGAAGTAACTTTTATTGTATGAAATCACTGTATGACATGTATGTAGAATATAACTTGACTGTGACAAAAAAAGACAAAAATGCAATTCACTGCCATGCTCAGAATATGCTCTTTTTTAAACCCTGAAGTTAATAAATATTCAACAGGTTCAACATCTAAACCTTTCCAGGTTGGTAGTAAATTAAACACAAAAGCTTAATTTTATATTCTGCATATTTCATAATATAGTTTGTACCATAATGTTAACAAAGAAATCAGCAATGATTGCTAGCATAAATAGTTACACCAAAATAGAGTATTGTTTAAAAAGGTTGCAATTCTTTTAATTCAGGAAGTGTTAGTCACTAACATGCCAGTAAACACCTCTACAAGGAAGTTTGTTTTCATTCTTTTTTTTTTCTTTTTGGCCATTTATCTATCTCAAACAATGCGTAAAATTGCAAAGACTTGGATATGAAAAGGGTATCCCCCTTGGTGACCTACGACAAAAAAGATGCAAATGTTTCTGGAATGTATTCTCTTCTCCTTTATTGAATGAAATTTGTAGCTTCACAGTTCCAGACACTCACTAAAATGTTGCATGATCATGTTAGTGCGTATATCCTTAGAACTAGTAGAATATCATTAACTACTGCCAATATACTAAGCCTGCAATATTGCCCCAGAATTTAGACTTCAAATGAATATATCATCAATAATCCACTCTCCCTGTCATCTTTAGGCACTTAACTAACTCCTCTGAGCTCATAAAGGACATCATGATATATGCATGTATATATCAGTTGGGTACAGAATCAATAAAACTTGATTAGAATAGATTTGAAGGACACTTGCTAGTTATTAAAGAATAAGACAGAAAAGATATTGATATTCTGCATCCAGTAATAAGGGTTCCAACTCTTTGGCTGTATTCCCAGAGCTTTTAGATCGATCTATCCCCGCGGGGAGTCTCACTAGATTACTATCAGATAATCCGGCTTAAATGTCCGTCCCGCCTACTACAAGCTGTAAGGGGGTAATTAACTTTCGTGTCCGCTCGGCTGATAGCTATTTAGCGTGAACCCCCAGGGAGTTAGGTCGATCTAAAGTAGATCGATGTAATCTCTGGAAATGGGGTCTAAGACAGAAAGGATATTGATATCCTGCATCCAGTAATAAGGGTTCCAACTCTTTATGTTTGCTTTTTCATAAAACCTTATAATTCTGACTAGATTCACTATATTCTTTGTTCCCAGCTGTTAATTTACTGGTGAAAAACCACTCATTCTGAGAATAGCATTTGTTAAGTTGTCAAACCTGGATAACTCTTGTATTGATATTAATTCTGCAATCAGCTTCGAATTCTCAGAATGTTTAATTGGTGATATATGATATACTTATGATTTATTAATAGGGCATGTGCAGGGTTCTTCCCCAGGGGTACCAGTAAATATTCCAGCCTAGATATCCTGCATCAAAAAATATCAAAAAACTGAAAACTACACGGAGAGGTTTGACACCTCATATATTTTTGACACAAGAGTGTTGGCCATCCTGTTCAAATCAAAACATCTAACTCTTTTTCTTCAATATAGGAGCTGTGGTAATATGCATGACGAAATTATCCAATTAAACAGGACAAGTCTTGATATGTACAGGTTATTACTTGTTAGGAGTCTGTCTACAATCAAGTTCAAGTCAACACTGTGCAGGCACTACTGAACACCACAATATTTAAATGCATCATGCTGTCTCATGTTTTTGGTATATTGTTTTCACCAAATTTTCTCATGAAAGTGCAAAGGACAAAAGAATATAAAGGCCATTTGGAAATTTTAATAGTGTGCAAACTATTAAAAATATTTGTTTTCTAACACAATTCTTAGGACATAAGATACGGTATTGCAAACACTGCATAAACACTGACAGAAACACAAATTGTTGCAAATACTTTTCAAATAAACTCTTAATTTGCTTTAAGTAAATTGGACGAGGGTATTCTATATACCAACCTCTATACAAGGCACAGATAACAGCTCCAGTAACAAATTCTAAATATAACTGAAATGGCACATAAATTTGAGGACAACTGGATACAGTATCTGGAAAGTGTTTTAGATTATGTTTACCACATTTGGTAGTAGCTATCCCATTTGTAATCCAATAAATTTTTCGCATGGGCTCCAATTAGATATGACATATCTGATATTGTGTTTCCCTTTCAAGCTGTGCCAAGTTAAACTGCCAATAGTATACTGACAATGTGCTCTTGCACTCCCCCCCCCCCCCCCAAAAAAAAAAAAAAAAAAAAAAAAAAAAAAAATTCACTCCCCTCCCCCTCTTCCAAAGCAGGATATATCCACCAGGCAATACACTTGAACTGTACTACATGGTCACAAGGGCCAGTCATGTTCCAATAACCAGACAACATGACACCTGGACATGACAAATGAAGTTGTCACCAGGGACCGCAGCTTCAGACTGGACACTGACGAATGGCCATTTTGTTGGTCATTAATAAAATTCACTGCATAGTCAAATGAGACAAGAGAATGGGCAGTGGCAGCATTCTTACCTCTTAATGACACATATTAATACTCAAGTTCAAGTGTTGGAAAATAAATTTTTCCATAATACTAAATTGTGATCTTAGGAGTCATCTGTAGTACCTTTTTCTATGCAAATTTATAGTTTACTGTCAATCTGGCACCGTTGATGCAACATCACAGTAACTACTGTGACAACACTGACAGTGCTATGGATGGACTGCCATGCGTTGCGTGACAGACTTCATAGCACCAGCCATTTGCAACTGATTTTTAAGTCCTTTCACACCTCGCTGGTGATAATGGAGATCTGATGGAATTTATTTTGTCGGTGTCAAGACAGGGCATCAGATGAAGAAAATGTGGCAACGTGAGAGATGTACAAAACTGAGCTACTGGCAGAACTATATTTGTGAAAAATATACAATATTTTTCTGATCTCATAAAATTCCCCGAGTTTACATTTACATCAACATAGTATTTACTTGCTGGTTTCTGGATAGAGACATTTTTGAGGACCAGTGCTCTCATACAATAAAGAAGAGTAAAATTAAAACATGTTTTCTCTCATGTTGTGAACTCTCGCTTAGTTGTTGGGACAACTAAGCAGGTGAAAAGGTCCACTTCTTAAAAAAAATGCACCCCCCCCTGAAATTGCTGGTAACAGGCTTGCATATCCTATATCACAAACCAGGGCTTTTCTAAGGACTGGGGGGACAGGCCGTCCAAAATTACCACCTATAATTTCCTACAAAATTTCAGGGAGTTCAAGCATGCCGAAAGCCATCATATTTCCAAAAATCCATAAGCCGTCCAGCCGTCTTTGAATATATATATATATATATATATATATATATATATATATATATATATATATATATATATATATATATATATATATAAGCTGCCCAGTGATAGTGATGCTGGCAGTTGTCCAAATGACGGCTGGGCGGTTCGCTGGGTAAACCCTAGCCATAAACTCAATTTTGAGAACGAGGGAACAGACTGACAATAGCCACATGCATGAGATATGGAAGGCTGAAGCAAGCTCTGGGGTACTGTAATTATCATATCCTATTGCAGGTCTCAGGAGACAGTATAAAACTAGAGAATGTTAGTCAAATGACACGTATATCATGTACAAACTGTACTTTGAATAGTCTGTTTCATAATGCATGTGTTGTAGAAAACTGCAGATGATGTAACGACTGGACTGTGAGAAACTTTTAAACTGCACTAAATTGACCTTATTAAAAATCAAACATCATAGCAGTAAATAAAATTTAATAATAATAATAATAATAATAATAATAATAATAATAATAATAATATGAAACTGTAACAAAAGAAAGATTTAAAAATACTTGAGGATATATAACAGACCAAAGGTAAATTATAAAACCCATTCCCCCAACAATTAAGAATGAGCATTACAAAATGAAGTAGTACTACATTATTATAAGGTGTAATGCCTTCTCAAGGTGTAGAACTCTTTCTACACGCAAAGCAGCATTAAGTGGCTCTAGTGTACTGCTTGATGGATTGAGACATGTTTTACAGGTGATTACAAAATACCTGTGGTAAAAGTGGAAAAAACTAATGGCGCTGCTATTTGTTCCCTTAGATACTGTACTGAGAGAGAGAGAGAGAGAGAGAGAGAGAGATGAGGAGGCTTATTGCACTTCAAAATCCGCGTCGCATCCCATTCTGATTATTTCCCATTACTCCATAGCAGTTTTCACTCCACTCTATCAGTATACCCCTTGGGCAATTTTATTCAAGGATTACTCACATTACTGCTTAATAGATCCCGATACCATTCCAAAAAGAGGACAATTGAAGAGCATGGAGAGATGTGTTTAAGCAAATGAAAATCAGGCCTTACCTGTACAAATTCTCAGCTCCCGCCCTCATCCGCAGCTCCTTGTTGATTTGGTCATTCAGTTTGGACCTCCGCGACTGGAGCTTTCCACGGGCCGTCTGGAGCAGAGGGTCTGAACCCTGAAATTTAGTAAGACGTTTGCTGATTAATTTTTTTGTTGCAACAGCCATCGTTCAGTTCAGCAGTCTATGCTTGTCCTGTAGTATGAAGATGACACACGAAGCAGTCACAGAGGTTTCTAGAACAATGTCTCGTTTTGTTCAATACAGTAGCTGGATGAAAATGTGGTTTGTAACCCAAGATAGGCCAATGTCACTGAATCGCGATCAAGAACTGGGAAGTGAGAAAAAATATGCTAGTAGTCTTAATGTATGCAGTTGTCACTTGTGCAATGTAAATAAAGCAACCGCGTAATTCTGGGTTCTGTCTGAAAATAATACAGTTATTTTGCAGCCACAAAGAGAAAAATTGAATCCAAATTGTTTCTGATATGTCAACCGTCAAATATCATCAACATTTCACGGTTCAATGGAGAAAGCAAGCCAATGCGTCCATGTTGGCCTTGACGATTTTGTGCTGCCTTGCCAAAGAATATGTGCTATTCTATTTCTGTGCTTCCTGACAAGAGAACAGTTACAGGGATAGGATTCTAACATGTGTCTGCCAGGCAGCTCTGCTTTCACCGTTTCTGCGTTCAATGATCCTCCAGTTCCCAATTTCTGCAATCAGGCAATGCACAGGGCAAATGTTCTCATTTCTAATAACCGGAGCCAAGTTTCCTGAATGCCAAAACCCTCAGTAATGTTACACAATTTATAGATCCAAAGCATTCAATTTTTTTTACAAATCCTACACTGAAATCCCAAAAGATCACTGTCATGCCAAAAAAGAGGCTCTTAGACCAATTCTTTATATTCGCTGTCTTCACAAAAGAAAATAAAAGATTCACTGTAAAGGCGTCCTCAGCTGATTGAAAGTAATAAAAAGAAAATGGTCACTTAATCCATAAAACATGGACATGCACCATAAAAAATCTTCAAATAAACTTCCCCTCTTGTCTCTGTGTAAAGACCTCCTAGAAACTAAGACATCCAGTTAAATTCCACATCAGTAGCAGTCGCTATAGAGTGAAACACACAGGGTGCAAAGTGAAAGTCCACACCCGAGGTTGATGGGAAATCTTTACAATATCTTAAGACATAAGCTAATATCACGTCATCGTGGCAGAATGTGTCACAGGCGATGTCACCCAGAACAGGTCTGTAATTCACCGAGATGCCTGAGGAGGGTACAAAAGGGAGAGCACACCTCCTTCAACAGAGGTGGGAAAAGTCAAAAGTCTCATAATTTATTGGAAATTCGGTCAAGAATAGGTGCAATGTTATTACCAGTCGTGAGATGCTATTTGATGATAACAACCCAATTTAGCATGGACATAAGAGTAAAATATGATCTTACATATGAAGACTATACAGAGGGAACACATGACCCCTCACCATTAAGCTAACTATGCCAAGTTACACTATTTTAGCATGACTAATAGACCTTCCCTGAGGACAAAAAAGAGGGAATGACACAGTGCACAGTCTAAATTTGCAGTGGTGCTGATGATGATGACGAAGGGACTGTTTGCGTGATTTTGCACCTGAAACATCCCCTCTTCCGAAATTCCTCTAACGCCATAATTTTCTATGCCTTTGAAAAAAACAACATCTATCTTTTATCAAAAGGGATAGTTTTAAGCCCATCTCAAAAAATCTTTTAATTTACAAAAATAAAAAAAGTGCTGCATTTTAATTTTTTGGAGAAAGAATTTATTAGTATAACAAACTTTAAGTAAATCTTCAAAAATTATTACATGACCCCATTTCATCTATCCATTAATCAAAATACTAATGGCCTGCCCCTGGCGGTATATATGTGGTACAGGCAAGTCATAAAGGTGTGGCTGCCACACTATCCCCACAGCTAGGATAACACAAAAGAAACCACTACGTACCCCAAATATGCCCACTGATTATGACTCAAGTCAAGCCCAGACATATATCAAAAATGAGAAAATGACTATGGATAATCACCAAAAAATTGCTTATGGATCAAATCCTTTTTTCTTCCTTCAAAAATCTATGCCGATCCCTCACTACTACCGGTAGATGGGATGAGAATTATCTGAATCCTTAAACACCCCCCCAAACACACACACACACGCACGCACACACACACACACACACACACACACACACACACACACACACACACACACACACACACACACACAGCAAACGGTAGTATCTCCACCTCAGCAAAATTTGATTACTACAGCATATATTAAATCATGCCTAAAAGCCTGTTACAAGATTCTATAAAAAGAACACAGGCCTGAACAACCATGGAATCTGAGCACTGGATACACATAGATTACATTTCCATAGCAAGGACATTCCAATAGTGTCTTGTGATCTGATGAAAAACTTGATCCTGCTTGCCTTATAGCTGACAAAATAAAATGCATTATTCAAATGCATATCGTGTGACATTTCACCAAAGAATATACTTGAGTACTTATCAAAGAAAAAATAAATCAACAATGGTGGGCATAAAATTGATTTGAACTCGTAAGCTTCAGGAATGTAAAGTAGTGAAATGTAAATACTGACATACCAGTCTTAGACACAGACTTAGACTGCATTCCCATAACCTTATCGTACAAGAAAGATCGATCCATCTTGGACTAAGGCACAGTCAGTGTAATCAGCTTAATTGTTTGGCACACCCCCTCGCAAAGCAACATGAAGAACATCACGGACCAGAAAGTTTTTCCAACTTTACTCAATAGCTTTAAGTTACAAGGGGGAAGATGTCACATTTAAACTGCTTAATGTTAATTCAATTTAGCAAGAATCCCCGAGGAGATAGATCGATCCAGCTAGTAAGCTAGGGTAATGGGAACAGTCCCTAACATCCCATTTTAAATGCAGGCATACAGCAGTAAAAGTAATCCCAATTATTCTGTTTGCAAGAATGTGAAAACATTTACCAAGCACTCTATTATGAGCACACTCCAGTGCATTATAAGCAAATATTTAAAACTTGATTCTGTTACATTCGACATCAAGTAAGGGGAAGGGGTGTATGTGAAAAAAAAACACCATTTTGTTCCAAAAAAGCCACACTCTGAATCAAAATTTGATATAGGTTTTTGCTATTTCAAAAATTGAATCTACAAAGGTGGTAAAAGTCCACTTTTCAGAGAAAAAAAATCTTCCAAAATAGCTGGCCACAGGTCTTCATAAGACTGGCCTATTCAGAACAAGTGGCACACTTTTTCTAAAAAAAAAAAAAAAAAACATGCCACCAGACAAGTACAGAGGATTGGATTACATTTCACCTCTGATTGTATTCTCCCCCCCTCCCTTCCTTAATGTCAAAACATTTATCCCCTATGACTTTTTGTCAGAGAATGGTGGCCATTAACTCATTTTCATCAACAAGATGGGGGCAGCACTAAGGGCTGGTTGTGAAATGTTGGTGCATTAAATTATTACCTTAACATATGTTTATCAGCTGAGGTCATTTAAATTCAGAGTTGAAGCCGGGCTTAAAATCCAGACTGAAACGTATCTATGACGAAGTCTATGAATATATAAATACAATGCTCAAAGTTCACTATTAACACATATACCGCTTATATAACATAACCTATATGCACATATTATTGCCATGGGATGAAAATACAATCCTCAAAGTTCACAATAAACATATATGCTGCTTTTACAACATCACCTATATGCACATATATGTTATTGCCATGGGACTTAAATACAATCCTCAAAGTTCACTATTAACACATATGCTGCTTTTATAACATCACCTATATGCACATATTATTGCTATGGGATGTAAAGTGAATGCTTCTGAATAACCTTAAGCCCCTAGATGTTTATCAGTCTAAAATACACAGAAAGAAGGGGAAAAAAGAATAACATTATGAACTGACTTTTAATGACCTTCAACCTGACCTTAAATGAACAGAATGGGTATAGTATAGCATTCAACTTTGCTTAAAAAAAGTTATCAACAAAAACACCACAATCTGTGTCATCCAGACAGCGTCAGGAGCTTGATTATGGGGTTTAGAGCTGTGCGGTGACATTGTTGACATTTGTGGTTGATGTAGTTGAGAGATAGCTTAGATACACTTGACGGATAATGCAGATTGCATTTTTTATTAGGTACCAGTGGTCTTCAAGTGCCTGGATAAGTAAACTGGAACTTTCCCTCGTCTAATTTTAGAGTTTTCTTTACAATACTGCAGCATGAAAAATGATAATAATAACAAAACTGGCTCTAAAAATAATATTCATTTTAAATTTCATATTCCAACAAAATAAGCAGCTACGAGATGTACTTTGGAGTGAACTAGTTTCCTTTAGTAATCACATATATACCATTAACATACAATTAGACACCCATCATATCTATAAATCATAGGCCACATTCATAACAGCCAACTAACTAATCCCCAGATCAAATATGGCCAACCCACTTGAATGCTTGCTGTATAATCCCCGTGGGGAATCTATTCAGTGTCTTTTTAGGCAAGCTTTTTAGTGGGGTTGCCATATTTGATCCGCAGGCTAGTTAGTCCGTTGTTCTGAATGCGACCATACATTATAATTTATGTAATAATAATAATAAAAATAACTGTATTATATTACATGCAGGTTATCTTATCCATAATCAACTAAATAAAACACAGATGAGGCATCAGTTCACCATAACTCAAAAGTTGTACCGTGATCACCATTGTCAACTAGTAGTCAAATGCCCAAAGGTTAGTACAAGCTTTAATCAGTTACTAATCCAATACCATATAAACAAAAGATAATATGACCATTGGATAACAGATCAGAAATGTCAATAAAATATTAACTGTCATTATCATAGTAAAGCAAGGTTTAAGTTGTCTGGAAATGATGACAATAAAACACCTTATTTAAATTACATTCAGTATTGCTCGGATGTATTGGTTAACTATTTTCACCAATTAATTAATTTTTATGAAAATTTGAAAGATGTATAAAGGATGAAATAGGTGAAAATATACCTCGAGTCATGTTAACATGTGCATGTTCCATTAGTTATTGATTTGGTAGAGAAAATTGCTTGATAGCAAAAAAACATACAGGCATTTGTACAGAGCAAAAAGAAAATTTTAATGATAAATTATATGTCATTTGAAATCCATTTGAGCAATACTGAAATCATCATATTTAAAATTATTGAATAATATTAAATTTTGTCCTGAATTAAACCAAATTAGTATTCCAAGCAATGATACTCACCTTTCTCACCTGTTACAAAACAAACAAAATCAAATACATTTTTTAAAAAAATCGCGTCACATGTTATTACACAACTCACAGATTACACAAAAATAGAATCGATACCGCCTGGTGATTAATTAGTTTTAATCCCCATATTTACGTCATAAACAGTACCTTTATCTTTTTAGGGCATGACTTTCACTGGCTACCATTCAATACCGACAGAAGTTAAACACAAATTAAATATGTTTTGAATAACACAAAAGTGTAAGTTTATATACACACCCTTAAGAAAAAAAACTATGCCTTTTTTCTTCTTTTTTTTTTTCTTTTTTTTTTTTTTGTTAAAGTGAAAAGATGAGATATAACAAAAATAAATAAATAACGTATGTTCAGAATCCACATCACAAACATTAAAATTCACCCAGGTATTGTTGGAGGAAGTCGTGTGCCACTGGCACCAGGAGACATACTTAATTTGCAGTGTATACCGGTTGTTAACACTACAGAAATGAACTGGTGGACCATAAGTCAAAGTCTCTTGTTCACCACACATGTGAATATACGGTGTTAATTATGAACTTCACGTCCCAATCTCGCCTCAGTCAACTTGCAGGCGCACACTGTTGTACAGGGGGATTAATTTGATTCCAGATATTTTAGTAACCTCTTAGATTGCCCCACTATGCATAGAAAAATATTGGGTTTGAAACGAAAAGGGCATGTCGACCTAAAAACGCGTAATTTTTTTCAATCAGTGTTGATATTGGAAAAGTCAAATTAAGAATAATCGTGGAACTGAAATGTTTAAGTTCAAACCACATCATCACGACGATGTGTAGCATAGCTTACCTTTCTTTTGATGTCTGCTACTCCGTTCATGATTTGTTTCTGTGATACGCTAACTACTACGTGGTTAAAATGTCTGGTTTCATGATTAAATGTCAACCGTTTGAGTCACCACTTCCACACCTGACTGGCCGATATCAGCACCAGTTACACCCTTGAGACGGGCTTGACAGAAATCGTGGCTGTGATTGGTGGGTTTATTTTGGTACAACACAAATTGTGTAACTTCACTGATACCCCGAAAATAAGTTTTGGTTTCATAACCATATTTCAGGTTCATTGTTAATTAAGCAGCCCGATCAAAATTGACATTATCAAAAATTAAATTAAAAACCCTGCATTTGATTTGCTGCAGGGCAGTATCACTTGACCTACTTATTGGAAGACACGCTTTTCCGTGCTATAAAAATGCAAAATTCTGCCAGAAAACGGAATGTTGAATCAAAATCGGAGGTCAGCGACAAATCGGTACGAGAGCTGTGGAATATGGCTATAACAGCAGAAACAGAATGGGAAAATAAGGTACCATTTTAATACAAAATTGAATATTTCCTAGGGCCAGGCAAATCATGTACGTAGTCGAGACGCAGCAATGCCAACTGGAGCGTTTAAGGGAAAACACCTGAACCGAATGGTGACCAGCCGGGGAAGCTCACCCACCGCCATAGCACTAAACCACTGAGCCATCGAACCCGGGTATACCCCGACCAGTCACTAAATAGCATAACACCAGCAAGACTATCCCACCCTACCACCCCTGTTCACCTTTTCTGGACCTGGTAATTAATTACCAAACTTAACGACGGAGAGCGAAAAATAAAAAAAAAAAATAGAAGTCAGTTAATCTAAATCCTAGAAACTGGTTTTATTAGGACTGAGTTTAAGCCTTATGAGTGCAAATTTTAATGAACTCTAAGTGTTCATTCCCAATGAAGATATATTGTTCTAGGTAGATTGATCTTTTTATGCGGGGACTCTCACTGAATGCAGTCTGGCATTGACTAATGAGTGTAAAGCAGAAAAGCTTGTGATTACAGGAGTATGTTGGAAATAAGAAGAGACGTGTTAATCTGTGTTAATCTTGTCCTAGCTGCTGTCACAACATTCATCAACAACAACAACAAAAAGATATTATAAGTACAAATTGCCATTATAATGTTAAAAATTGTATGCATATACACTAACTTTCACCTCTGTAAGGTGGACAACAATTAAACAATATGAAAAGTAATGCAATCGTACATTGTTAGGGATACCATGCACTAAGTCCTCATAATTTTATGGTAAAATGGAAGAGAGGGAAGAAGAAAAAGAAGAAAAATGCATCTTTTTTGACCTAGAATATTGGATTACGACTACTAGTAATCTCCATTTCCATCTGCTATTCATCTCCACCCGAAATATCACAATGTGCCAATGATTGTGTTTTACTCATTTCAACTAATGCAATGGGGTGCAGTTTGCCTTCAAAGTAACAGCACTTTATAACCCAGCTTTATGCACTTTTCACACTTATTTTATAAAGCATGTGTAACCAATAGTTTAGGCAATTTGAGGTGAAGGAAATATTAATACGGGAATCACCGAACTTGGAGAATTGAAATGCAAACTGTGCACAAACTGTGCACAAACAAAACGGAGCTCCACAATTTATTAATGTTACTGTAACAAGATAAGATAAAGGTTGAACTAGACATCTGTATTCTACTAGTATGATAGACTTTTGAATCTGTTTCTCCTTTCTACGTGCTGTGAGCATCCTTACACTTTCAACATATTGGTTAGTTGTATCACAGGAACATCGGAGATCAGCTTGTCATGCTATGTACAAATGTTGGAAACTGTTATCTAATGATGCTTATAAAGAAAGGAAACTTTGAAAGGACATGACACCTGGGGAAACAAGACATTAAGAAGACTATTTTAAATGAAATGAACAAGCACATTGATCTTCAGTTGAGATGTTGGCTACTTGGCATTTAGCAATTCTCTAGGTGAAAGATATTCAATTTTTGGGATTAATTGTGTTTAGTGTGTTTGTGATACTATGGGTTTTAATGCTTCAAAGGTACTTAAGTCTCCAGTATATATCAATTGGATATTGATTAGTTTATGTCATTTGTAACATTCACTCAGTTTGTGATTCTAACATGAAAATTGATGAAAAGAATATCTGTCTGTTTTTATTATTAGGTATTATACTCTTTTTATGGGGAGTTTTCAATTTAAATTTTGTTTGATGATTCAAAATCCAATCTAAAATGCAACTATATAGCAAATGGTTTAGGAGAAGTAACTTTCATTTTTATACTTTTTCATTAAGGAAATACTAAGTTGTCTAAAAGAAATATGAAGTATGGTAATTAATACCAACATTTGTTATTTTCCTAATGTTTAATTTTCAATCCACCTCCACTTTTTTCAAAATGACTTTCTATGTGAGGTTAATTGTAATTTATTCTAAGATTTATTATATTCGTTATGTTAAACCTACCTTTTTGTCAGAATGTAATACTCATTCATTGTAATTTAATTTATCCCAATATTTGTTGATTCCTAATGTTTAAATTCCAATCCACCTCCATTTCTTCAAGATGCCTTAATAAATTAGGTCAATTAATTGTAAATAATACCAATATTTTATCATATAATGTTTATCCTTATGTTAAATGTTCAATATACCTCACTTTTTGTCTGTACATTTGACAGCTTTGCTGCCTTTTTTCAGGATGATTTCCTAGACGTGGTATACTGGATGCGACAAATTCTAGGAGTGGTTCTGGGACTGATATGGGGTATTGTCCCTCTGAAGGGTTTTTTAGGATTAGCTCTGTAAGTCCACAATATGGCAATGGGTCTGGTTTGATACAATTGAAATAAAAACAACGTTGATATCACTATTGCAAAGATTTTTTTCTAAATTTAAGATTTTTAACAAGCTGAAATTTGAGCTGAAAAGAGGACAAGAGAGCAAAAGAAATGCTTCCTGCAGGAAAGAAAAAAATAATAAATAAATAAAATTGATTAATAGTTGTTTACATATGGAGAAGATATTAATGTGTATTTTCCTTATATCTCATTATTATTCAGGGTTCTCCCCAGGCCTTTATAGCGTATCGGCCCCGATACGCTATTTTTTTTGCCGATACGCTTCTTTTTTTGCCGATACGCTTCTTTGAACTCCGATACAGGTCATGATTTATGAGAAATTTGGAGCAAAAATCTTTTAAAAATCATTTTTAATGCATATACTAACGTCTTTTTGTCTCCTACGCGGTACTGAAAAGAATGACCTACTTTTGGCACAAAACACGTGCAGTCACAAAACGAAGTCTGAGCAAACTTACCGCCAAGTTATGAAAGTGAACACCCTCCAGAACTTCATCAGACAAAATTTATTCACATAACAGGCTCACTACTGAATATTTATTTGGTTAAAAATCTACGTGCCCTAGAGAGAAAGACCGTTACAGAAACAACACAAGTACTATGCTGGTTACAAAGCCAGATTGGACTAGATGAACTGGCTATATCTAGTTCGTTGTCCAGGCAACATACTGCCTGTCAATCAAATACGTTGTATGCTATCTACTCACTACAGAACGTGAAATCTTTGGGACTGAAGATCTTGTTGAAATATTGTTTATTTGCCAAAATATAACCTGAAATTTTGTATGATGTTTTCTTTAATGACTTTATCATCACCTATATTATTTACAGTTAAAAATTTAGTGCTGGAATATGATAAATTAACATTGCTGTCATATACCAGTGTGGTATTGATGTAAGGAAGAAATTAGTAATAACAAATATGAGAATTTAAATAAAAAGGGGAACTTTTTTATACTGATTTTATTTAACTCATATATTTAAGAAAATCAAACACAAGATAACCCCTAAAAAGTTAAATTGTTAACATAAATATAAGTAAAGTATTATAAGATGAATATTCTTTAATTTTTCATTGAACTTTTGAATATTTTAATAAAATTAATCTAACAGTACCCCCTCCCCACCTGCCACTCAGGGTATTTATATTTTGCTTTGGTTAAACTTCATGTGAATTTGTTATCAAATTGCAGATTTACAATTAGCAGACCCTGTACCCAAAATCCTAGGAGAAGCCCTGATTGAAACTTTATAATGTTAAATCAGACTTATATGCAAGATTAAATCTTCAGGAGTTCACAAGTATGAAAAAACAACTTTTTATCTGAAAATAAATCCACTTTAAGGTGCATTTTCCGGCTCATTTAATTTAATGTCTTGGCAATAAATGCATTAAATGTATGACTACACATATTTATTTACAAAGTTCAATGGTATGAATAGAAAAAATATTAGTTTTGTTGGACAGGTTGGATTGAAATTCGGACAGGTACTCATAAAAGTTAGTGTCTAGCCCTGATTTTCCCGCAAAATTTGGTCCTGCAAGTGGGCTATGTCGTAACGATTTAATGACAGCTTCAGATTGCATGGGATTGCACCCTTTTTGCATGAAATAATGAAAGTTTTTCCTCCGGAGGGCACATCCCTGGACTCCCCCCGCCCCCTTTGTGCCTCGCTTCGCGAGCTTCGGTACTCTCTCGTAAAAAAAAATAAGGGCTATTTTCAAATCCTGGGGAGAACCCTGTTATTGTATAATATAGACTTGTATTTTCCTGAGAAGAGTTACTTCCAATTTGTACATAAGTAGTCTACTATAAAGTAAAAAAAAGTGATTGATTCAACATTGAGTTGTAATGAACAGTGACATTACAGTTTTTTCTCATTTTGTTATGTATGATGTTTTTAGGTTTTAATCAAATTAAAATTAAAGTTGGGCAATGTATGTGATATTTAACAAATCTTTATTTTTTTCACAAATTTTTGAATATTTTTATCTTTCAGATTTTTTGCTGTTCTGACAGGAGTTACATATTTCTTTTACAACACATACCACAAAGTTGATGATGACAAATTTGGCGGCCCATCTGAAATTTTAAAAGAAGGATTAATGACATCCTTTGCCTCATTTTTAGTAAGTTATATTTTTATGGCAAGAAGCAATTTTCTGTTAGATTGTTTATCTTTTCAAGGTCTTGTATTTAGTAACTTTTGTGGTGATAAAAATCACTCTTTTTTTAACAAAGGGGGGGGGGGGGGCATTCTGCCAATCACCACCCAGAGTAAGACTTGCTCACAGGTCCACCAACACCCAATAACCTGTGGGTATTCAGCCTGATCATGCTCTTGTGATAAAAGTGAAGCTTTGCTGTTTCATAAAATTTTGTTCCAAACAGGGCTTTTCCCCAGGATTGGGGGTACAGGCCATCCAAAATTGCCACCTGTAATTTCCTACAAAATTTCAGGGAGTCCAAGTATACCTAAAGCCGGCATATTTCAAAAAAAAATCCATAAGCTGTCCAGCCGTCTTTAAAAATATAGGCTGTCCAGTGGTGCTGGCGGCCATCCAAATAACGGCTGGATGGTTTGCTGGGAAAACCCTTTGTTCTAAAGGAAGTGATTAATTCTTATCAACAAAAACATTAGTAAGAAATAATTTCCATTAAAATCACTTAAAATTATCATCTTGGTAAACTTTATACAATCAGTTAAACATTGAAATCCGTAGTCAATCTTGAAAAATAACTTATAAAAAGTGATCTTAGAGTTGTATAGCATGCTAATAGGTCAGTGTGTATGGTTTTATGTCCTTGACAGATTGAAGTATCGGCATGGAATGGGGACTATCATTTTTCACTGGCTCCCTCTGGTAATATCAATCTATGTCAGTGTCCGCCCACAGCAGGTTGATTTCTGCATGGATCCATCTAATCCATTTGGGGATCTTTATTTACTGTGGCGCAGGTGTTTTTTTAGATGGTGCATGTTGATTAAATGCATCTTGTTTGAATTCAGGCCACTTCTCTATAAATCATGTTTTGTCAAGGGTTTTGAACTTTTTCTGTGATCCAGTCTGTAAGCGACAACGTAGATTTCCATTAAGTTGATCAGAATGCTTTATAGATTTTTATGTGTGTGTGTGTGTGTGTGTGTGTGTGTGTGTGTGTGTGTGTGTGTGTGTGTGTGTGTGTGTGTGGGTGGGTGGGGGGTGGGGGGGG